TCTCGCCCGGTCTTTCCCATCTGTGGCCAGTTGTAGTCGTGCCGGTTAGTCCACTGCTGCGGAGCACAGATGTGACGAGTCAGAACAAAGCGTTTTGTGGTCTGCAATGCTTGGTGCAGCTGGCGTAGCTCTTCTGGGCTCCTTTCTAAACCTACTTTCACTGCCTGACGTTAGTTACCCGTAATCGTTGGGAGCTTTATTTAATAACTGAAAGGATCCCTTGCAGGGATGTGCCAAAGGAGGGTGACAACTGTTGCCATTTCTGGGGACAGTGGACTCTGCTGATGTCATGTGTAAATCATGTGGAAGTGTTACACACTGCACGTGGGTAAAAGTGTCCAGCTGCATGATAGCAGAGCTTCCAGCAGGGCAGTGCCATGTGCTAACTGTCGGACCGTGGTTAACTCCTTATAAACCTGACATTGCTGTACCATTAAATATATCTTTAATTCATCAAGTGGACAGAAAAATGTGGTGAATTTCAGCAATTCAGCATTGGCATAAAGGAAATATGCCAATATGCCTATGGCTCTCACTTGACCACATCCAAAGCCATCCCTGGGTGTAGCCAAGCAGAGCTCCAGGGGATTGATTGCAGCTTGGTAGTCTCTGAGAACATGGGAAAATCTTGCATGACAGAGACATTCACTGCAACGCCAAAGAGCTTTGGATCTGCCCAGGCTGCTCAGTTCCTAACAAAATAATTACATGGTGACATGAATTGGAAGATTACCTCATGCCCTGGAGCCTCCTTTATGATTTTCGCTGGCTGGGAATGAGACAGCACTCAGGGCTTTATCAAGGCAGCCAGAGAGGCTGTAGCTCCTTAACACCACTTCAGAAGGTAAATGCTTTCTGCGTTGCACAAAGGAGAAATGACTGTGATTTAAATCTCCCTCCTCCCCAACTGCTTCTCCCTCTGCATCACAGCTGTATCTGGCTCAGACCTGATGTTAAGTCTCCCAGGCCTGGGAAGAAACCCAGTATTTCTACCTTAAGATTTCTGTCTTTTGCATACTAGTTGTTCTCAAAATAGGTGGAGGCAAGCAGACACTGCCCTGAGGAGAAAGCTGCAAAGCACCTGCCCTGTTATGTGAAAGGGTGCTTTGAAAGCCATTAAATGCTGCGCAGGGCCATGCGTAGCAGTCCCCTTTGGTGCTCTGCCCTTGCAGTGCGTGTGTACTACTAGTGTGTTTGCATTGGCGTGGGTAAAGATGGAAATAGAAAGCCCGTGGTGTGGGCTGTGGTATGAATATCAGATTTGTGCTTGGTGTCTTGCAATGTACTGAAGTCACTGCTAAAACTTGCTATAATTAACTGTGTTGGATAGATTAAAGCTAGTGTAGCAATGCTTACTGTGTGCATATCCACTCAGGCGCATGTGGTAAATAAAACCAAGTTCCTGTTCCTTGTTAATAACTAATTATTAGCAGTGACAAAGGCTTTTTTTTTTTCTGGTGCCACAGTGTCATAGGTTGTGGCCATACAAAACCCAGCTTTAGCACAGCCTTACACAACTGAGAGAAATCCCAGGAGGCAGCTTTATACCATCTCTGTTGTTGCTAGTTACCCTACATCCAGCCTCCTTTACCAGTGAAATATCATAATCCCTTAAAAAAAAATCTTCCTAGCTAACAGTAACTCTGTCTCTTGTAAGTTAGGAAGATAAAAGTTTCCTTTAGGTAAAATGATGTCTCTTTTAGTGTGATTGTCTGGGCATGGAGTTGTTTGGGTAGATGGTGGGAATAAATATATTGGCCAGTCCAGAGGGGTTTACATTGCCTACGAATTGGGTACTCTGTAGGACTGTGTAATGGCTCTCCCGTAGCTGGTGGCCGTCCTGTAGCCCTGTGTGCCAAGCAAGCTTGGCCGAGCGTGGGGCTCCCTGCCACTGTGCAGTGGGGCAGGGTGCCCCCTCCGCTGGCTACTGAGAAGTGTGTGTTTTGCCTGAGACTCCTGGCTGGAAAACCTCAAAGGCTGGTGGGGTTCCTCAGAGTCAATGACTGCCTGGGCTGCTTTTCGAGTATAAAGTAGAGAGGGATGATAGGAGAAAAATTGTGGCTTTAACAGTAGCATAAACATGTGGAAAGAACTGTATTGCTTAGGGCCCAATGCCACTTGTCCCCATTAAGCTTTTGAATACCAGAATGAAGTACTGGAGTGTGCTACCCACAAATTTCATTTGTGGGATATGAGTCATTTGGTTTAAGCCAGGTTATAATTTGAATAGACGGTACATGCTGGACGGGATTTTTCCTTTAGCACTCTGGCAGCAGCCAGGACAACCTGTGTTCAGTCCATCGAGACTTCCTTCTGTTTGCCACTGTCAAAGGAAAGAATTCCTTGACTTTTAAAACTAGCATTTATTGGAGTTCAAAGGTCAAGTGATTGCTTCATCTTGGAATGCTTTTACGTCCAGGATCAAGAAGGGCATAAATTAAACAAATTAATTAAATTTTTTTTGCTTACTCCATGAAACAAATGAGTAAAAGATAGATGTAAACCCGTTGCTTTTTAGGAGATATAAAAGGGTCTAATTGAATGGAATCAGCAAAAGAAATATGAGTCAATATGAGTCAGCAGTGTGCCCTGGCAGCCAAGAGGGCAAGCCGCATCCTGGGGTGCATCAAGCACAGCATAACCAGCTGGTCAAGAAAGGTGATTATCCCACTGCCTTCAGCGTTGGTGCGGCCTCGCCTTGAGTACCGTGTGCAGTTCTGGGCCCCACAATTTAAGAAGCATGTGAAGGTCCTTGTATCCGTCCAGAGGACAGCAACAAAGCTGCTTAACAGGGCTGGAAGGCATGTCCTATGAGGAAAGGCTAAGGACTTTGGGCTTGTCTAGTTTGGAGTAAAGGAGGCTGAGGGGAGACCTCACTGCTGTCTACAGCTTCCTGAGGAGGGGAAGTGGAGAGGGAGATGCTGAGCTCTTCTCCCTGGTCTCCAGTGACAGGACGCGTGGGAATGGTTCAGAGCTGCACCAGAGGAGGTTTAGACTGGACATTACGAAGCTTTTTTTTTACCAAGAGGGTGGTCAAGCACTGGACCAGGCTTCCTAGAGAGGTGGTCAATGCCCCAAGCCTGTCAGTGTTTAAGAGGCATTTGGACAATGCCCTTAATAACATACTTTAACTTTTCGTCAGCCCTGAATTGGTCATGCATTTGGACTAGGTGATTGTTGTAGGTCCCTTCCAACTGAAATAGTCCTATTCTATTCTATTCTATTCTATTCTATTCTATTCTATTCTATTCTATTCTAAAATACATTACATAATTAAAATTAAAGCTGTGGCACTAATGCGTCCATGATGTAATGATATCCAGGATCTTAACAGCACATTTATTTGGATTCTAAAAATATTTGAGGCCACATTATCAAAAATAGTTAAAATAATAAGTTATATTAACCCACATACATTAATATGTTGGTTACTTATTCCCATGGTGATGTAATGCAGTGAGGATGGTTAATTCTGGGTGGTCCTTTGCTTAAGGGTGGTAAATCCTGTGCACGGTTTTGAAAATTTTAGCCTTTATCTGAGCTGCAGAATCAATGGAAAATAATAACTCTGGTGGAGCAGAGGATTGAATAGATTGTAAAGGTGTTTCAGTCTATGTGAATGTAAAGGAAAACGTTCAAGTGGAGAACATGGATGTCAGCCCCCACCAAACAGAGAAGTAATATTGCTGTAGACTGAAGTTCATACTTTTGCAGCCCTGCAAAAGGTATTGCACGTCTTCCATCAACCATGTAAGGGAGGAAGGGGTAGAGTGGATGTGTCTGGTGAAGAGGAGGCTGAGAGCTGGTACCCAGTGAAGAAGCAGCTTTAGGTTGTTGTAGACGTAATGGCGTGACACAGACATACTGCCACACTGCTGGCTTCATTTCATACCAGTGAAACCACCAGGTAGGAGGTTACTGTTAGAGGGAATGGCCAGGATTAAGGCAGTTTTTTTCCATTTTGCCTTTCTCTAATAATGTGTAGTTTAAAGTCTTTTCCTTTTTTATTCCTTCTAGAAAAGTTGTTAATCTTGATAAAAATGACTACAAAAAGTAGTCACCTACTAAACTGCAGAAGAGATTAATACAAAATATGCTGGGTTTCTCTTACATGTGAAGAAATTGCAGAATCAACTTCTTTGCAGAAGCAGAGGGATGCTTTGGTCTTAGGGCAGTGGTACCTGAGAGGGGAGTCGTTCTCAAGGATAGCAGTGCCAAACCATACCCTTCTTGTTCAGGTAGCTCCCAGCTGGGACACTGTTGGCACCCTCAGACCATTACTTAAGTGGAGCACTACATTTCAGTTCTTCTGGGCTGTTCTGCTCTGGCTGGTTCTTTTAGCAGATTTGGGATGGTAATGATTGTTAGGGAGTTGCTGAATTTGGTAGCCTGATCGTGGGGTGATTGTGTCTCTGACCGGGGTGTTGGGGTTCCCCCCTGCTGGTGTGCCTCTGGGCTTGTGGCGATGGGTGTATGACAAGCTGAGTGCTCCCTCGGCATGGGGCTGGGTGTTATTGGGGTTCCCTCACCTGCCGTCCTTCCTTTGTGCTCCTTCATATGTCGGTGGAGATGAGCTGCTTATCCCATAGCCTAATAGTGGCTGACAGTGGCCTTGACAGGACTTGGGAGGAATAAATGCGGGGAATGAGATGTTGAATGAAGTATTAACACAGTATGTCAATACTGACTAATGCAGCAGTTGCTTCAGGCTGTATATTTTTTAGTTTCATGTCCAGACAGTGTTTGGCAGCAATCAGCTGTCCGATAAGCGTGTGCGTGCTGGCCAGCCAGTCGCAGCCATTGCATGTGTGTTGGCTGCACGGTCCATGTGCCCTGAGCTCGAGTAGCTGCTTCAAGGGAATTTCATTGTCCAATGGGTATTACAGGCAGTGTGGGAATGGGGGAGGAGCACTCCTCTTCTAATTAACCTGATAATGATGATGCTTTGTTAAGTTTTTATAAAGTTCCTGACAGTGTGGTATTTCTTCTTTTTTATTCAGATTCCTTTGGGACTCTTGTTCTTCCAGTAGTAAGTATTTCTTTCCTTTCCTCCTTGCTCAGAAAATGTTGACTCTCTGTAACTTTTCATCAGTTGGTGTTGATGAGGTGACGTGTTTTGTACGTGATCCTAGCTATTTTCACATTCTCAGATGAGTGTATTTACTGACCAATAAGCCAAGGAGTTTTCAGATCAAGTGCTCTGCAGCTTGTTGCAAGTAATTACAGGATGTGGGAGCTGATTTCCAGCATCAGCACGAGCTATCATAAAACTTGAACACAGAACTTTGCTTTGTGATTTTTTTGACTGGCTGATATCTACATCTCTATTTCAGACACACCATGAGGGCTAATTAGAGCTGAAAGAATTGTGCAAAGCAATAATTGAGAAATATTAAAATGAAAATGTATTTATACGCAGTCTTCTTAAGGATTTGGCAATACACGTTCAGTGAAAGTACATAATAAGCTAACTTGTCAACAAAAATGTATAATATCGAATTGTATGTGGAGTATGAATCCTGAATTTATAATCTTGGATGTTCATCTTGAAAACCCGATCTAAAGAATTATGTATTTATGTCAGGAAAAAAGTTTTACCAAAGTCTTTATATTTTTAGACATCTGTAAGTCTGAGTATCCCTAAATCCAGTGGGTTTAAATTCTGATCTCAAATAAACGGTATATCAGATTAAATAATCTGGAAACGTTTGATAGACGGAAAATCAATGACAATGAGGAACTCAATATTATGAAGACTACTAGGTTGAAATGCATCTGTACAAACTGTAAATTACCAAACATAGAAAATTCAGTTTAAAAAAAAAGGTTAAATTAGCAAGTTCCTTAATACAATTTGGCCAGGTCCTAAAGTGTTCAAGCACCTAAAACTAGGCGCGGTGAATTCCTTCCTCTCTCGCCACTATCTGAAGTGATGAAAACTGACTCATTTTTTTAACAGTAAGATGTTTTTTTCATTTGTGTAGCCACGGTAGACTTAGGTTTTGCCCAAAGTGTAGTTGGCTGGTAGCAGAAGGTGGGTAATGAGTTTCTGGTTTCAGACATCATCTTTTCCAGAGGAAACAGTAGGTTCCTTGTCTGAGGTGCTCGTGACAGTGGCTGGTGTGGTCAGAAGTACGTGTGATGGCCTTTTTCTCTCTTATGTTAGGAGTGCCAAAATGGGGATAGTAATACCGTTCACTTGGGGGATGTATTGACTAAGATAAAATATTTTCACAGCAAGTTCCTACCACCTACTGTTAGAGGCTGCCTTGCTTATATTTGCCTTTGGAGAAGCAGTTGGTGGGGCTGAGGTAAATAGTTACCATTATTGTAGCAGTGACCTTCTGGAAGTGTGGTATTAGTGCAGTTTCTGTTAGCATAGATGTGTGAACCAGAAGGTGGGTTACTTTGCACCTCAGCTGCCCTAATACACTGCTGTGGCAATGCAAACTTCATTGCCTCTGGCTTTTACATCCAGAAAGGTACAACAGGCAGTTTTGTCACCGTGTTGCAGGAAGGAAAGATCTTTTGAAATATAAAAAGTACAAAAATCAAGGGAGCAACCCATGCCATCTATCATTATTCATGACAGGAAAAAGATACAGAAAAATATATGAGGTCTCTAAATGGCATTTACAGAATTTTAACGAAGAAATCAAAGACAATCCTTGCATGTATGTTAAAATAATGCTGTAAGAGCACAATTCACTGCTATGATGAGACAAAAAAAGCTTATTTTCCCCCCCGTTTTGATTTTCAATGTTTATAATGTTTCCTGGACTTCTTGTAGGGAATCCTGTCTACTTTTTAGGGAATACACCTTCTTTAGTAAATGGTAATATTCATAGCTGAATTAGTTTTGAGGTAATATTTGACAGATGCAGTAACTAAGGCAGTTCCTCCTATTTAATATATTCCAGGATACTTGGCGTGGAAGTTGGAGAGTGTTGAAATATGTGAATCATATGTTCTTGGCAATGTGTATACAAAAACCTGCAGTTGAAGAAAATGCAGAATCTATTTCAGTGTGGTGCTTTGCACCTAAAATTTAGTTAGATAAGTCCAGATTCGGAATCTCTTCTTCCTGTGTCATCATACGCTTGCTCATGGGTGAAAAAGACAGCCTGTGTATTTTTCCCCTTCCTGATTTTATTTTTCCTGGCTTGTTTTTAAAAACAAAGTCAACAGAGAGGGATGAAATTGTAGCCAATTCCTCTTTATAGGTAAACACACAGAGAAGGAAATTTATTCGATACAGACATTTGCATCTACCTCATTTGTCACCCTGTGACATTTTTCCCTGTTTGGGAATTTCTGTTACCTCACTGTGTGCTCTTAAAATGAATTTTGACAGCACAACAGCCTTTCATTACAGAGCTTGGTAGGATACTTTTGAAGGGCTGTGCCTGGTGAGTTAACAGCTGTAATTTTCATTACCAGTGCAAGAGGAGTGCTTCATTTCCATATGTTATGCCGAAAAATGCAAGACTGTCTGTTTTAGTTGTCTTGACTTCAGAGGTTTTACTCCAGATTTACTGTTGTAACTGCAAACAGAAGCATGTGACTCTTAAGCTTTTTAGCAGGGCTACTTGTTGGAACCAGCTGTGTGCTGTGTTAAAACCCCTTTCCTTCTTCAAAGAGACACTCCTAAGCAGATGGTGGTACAGAAGCCGGCATCTGGGCTGGAATGTCCCTGGGGTCATTCGTTGTCTGTGTGGGCTCTGCTCGAGGTGAAATTCCCGTGTGCTGCAGCAGCTCTGCTTTGAGCCTTTTGACCCCTGTGGCTGGGATTCCTCCTACCTAACTTTAGACATGAACTGATGCATCTGAGTTATGAGCTCTAGATTTCCTCTGTCCAGTGGAGAGACAGAGAGGGAGACCTGTGCATGGTTATTCTGATCTTACGTGGTATAAATTTCCTTGCCAGTGATGTCTGTCTGTGGTTACTGCCAGCACTGAAGGAGCCTTCAATGTCTATCCTAAATAAGTTAACCATATCAAATGTCTCTTCCTTTATTCCTTAATATTTTGGAAGGAATAATTATTTTACTTTCTAGATGAGTTGTAATATGTGCTGTAATTATGAGTCATTAAACCGAAATGAGGCAAAATCAGTGAGGTTTCTATTGAAAAACAGTACCTCACCTCATGAGATCTTCATTCTGAATTTGATTTTTCTACCCCATAGAACATGAAGCTAAAGCTTGTAAAAAGAAGTGCAAGGTTTTCTTACTGTCCTGCTCATCTTGCCTGCATATAGCTTCTTCAGCTCTTTTATTTTTGGAAAATTCATTACCAAAAAATGATGAAGTCAGAAAAAAAATTAGCCCCCCAAATCAAACCCAAGAAATTTCTAACTAACAGTGAAAATAAAAGAGAGAGCACAATGTGTGTGTGTGTCTGATTACTACTGAAAATTAGATGCAAATCTGTTGAAAAGTTGCTTCTGATAACACATTTTCAGGTAATTGTTGAAATGATACTTTAAAGCCCTGAAATCCTTTTTTTCTTTTTGAAAATTTACATAAGTTGAGAAGTTCAGGAATATGTCAGATCTTTATGTCAAATGTTTTTTGGAATAATAATATCTTCAAGAATATTTTGGATAGTTAAGAGAGAGTCACTATTTTCTTTTTAGTTGCCTTTGAACAGTGCTTCTGGGAATTATGAATTACTGGTGGAAGGCCATGCTGATGGCCGGCGCATCTTCTCTAACCGTACCAGCTTGATGTACATGTCAAAGAGCATCTCCGTATTCATCCAGACTGATAAATCTATGTATAAACCAGGACAAGACGTGATGTTTCGGATTGTCACCTTCTATCCTGATCTCAAACCTTACAAAGCGTCTCTGAATATATATATCCGAGTAAGTATTTGCAGGAACCTAGTTATATATTGGCATTTCTCATATGTTCCAACTTTGTGACAAATAAAGATCATGTGTATTGCTACCTAAATCTGGCTAGCAAGACCACTCGCATTTAACATGCAGCCTGACTTTTCTCCTAGGACCCTCGGAAGAAATTGATTCAGCAGTGGTTGATGGAAGAGGGTGATTTGGGTGTAGTTTCCAAAAAATTTCAGTTATCAATGAACCCTCCACTAGGAGACTGGTCCATAGAGGTGGAAGTGAACGTGAGTATTAACATTGCCAAATCACAGAGAGATTTCATTTCTCCTGATAGATGTGAATAAAATTGTGTTTACTTTGGTGAAGCAAAACCAGAAGTAAGCATGAACCATGAGAAGAGGGAATCCTTCACTCATGGCAAACTCAATATATTATGCAAACCTGACCAGAATTTCAGTAGTATATGGTTTTGTAAGGAAAGATACTAAAAAAAGCATATATATTTTATCCTAAGGTCTGTGTTTTCATTCTAAAATACAAATGTTATTTAAAAAGTGAGGATTTTTAATATTGATATCAAAAAAAGATCTTATGGAGTACTACATTTTTTTTTAGGTGAAATGCCCTTATGTTTATTTTGTAAGTGAAAATCGTACAGAAATTCATTGTGCCCTGCAGTGCAGCCAGTCACTGTCTCAAGGGATGTGGAATCAAAGACTGTCATTTACAAATCTCTGCCTAGTTTTAGGGGTGTTTCAGCAATTCAAAATGACTGAGGAGTTACTGCGGAAAAAATAACTATGCAAAATAGAAAGGATAAATAGTAAAGCAGACCTATTGCATAACAAAACTGGTGTGATCTAGTTTGCACATTGCTGTTGGTAATAGTTGTATCAGTCAAATCCTTTAAGCTGTACACTTCTCATACACTGTGGAACATGTTGCAAAAATAACCGAAGGTTTAGCTGTTCAAAACTCTTGTGTGTCAGGTTTATTCAACCTGCTTTAAATGCGTGTAATTTGGGAACTGCATTTCCGACTTGGCTTGCAGTGGCCGTTCAGAGATATTTAGCAAGTACAGACAGGACTGCTTAATGTTCCCTAATAAGGGAGATGATGGGGTAGAAAGCAGAAAAACTCATGTGGTCATGTATTTCTTGGGAGTAATATTTACCAGTACCAGTTATATGCTTGATAGATTTCTACAGGCTGAGGTGGGTGAGGGTGGTGCTCAAGTGAGTGTCAGGACTGGATTTTTCAAACACGTTCTCATCTGGGTGTGGAGTCATTACTGTTGTCTTTGATGGGAAAAATGTTTTAAGTTGTTCCTGCCCTTGTCCCTGTGCTCAGCCTCTCCTTCCCCTCCCTGTGCTGCTGTTCAATAGCTTCTCAGTCACACTGAGGCAGCTGTAGTAAGGCTGAGATCTAAAGCGGGCCTGGGAAGTGACCCAGATTGAAAAGCATCTCCATGTTTTTCTTTGCCTAACCCAGACCAGGTCACTGATCTGGCTGACAGCACAGCCCCGCTCACAGCTGCACAGGTGCTTTTCAGGAGGTGGGAAAGTGTGGCTCAGACATGGGAACAAAGGCTGGTGGCAGCGGTGGGCTCCTTCAACAGCTCGCTTGCCAGGCAAAAAAGTGTGTGTGAAATTTTGCTTGGGCTTTCTGCGAAGTCTTGAGTAATCCTTAAGTCAGGAGGACACAGCTGAAGGAACTGCAGCAGCTGTTTTCAGGATCTGAATATGACTGCCACTCCCTCCTGAAACAAAACCAAAAAGAAAAGGAAAAAAGATTGTAAAATTGAAAGACAAATGCCTTAGGTTCATCTTGGCTAATGAAACAGCTGTGAGAAAACAGACAAGTGAAGTGAAATGTTAGTAGGCCATAGGAGATGGTGTTCTAAATTTTAGCTGTGTAGTGTGTACTACAGAAGGTTAATGAACATGGAAAACATATGACAGGGTGGGAATCTCTTCTCAAGTCATGAGTAATGGGAAGAAGACAAATAGGGAACATTTTGTTCACTGTCTCTTCCAATGCATGGTTAGAGGGCACCAGGTGAAGGAGGTAAAGAGCAATTTTAAGACAGCATAACTGAACTGTACAGCACAGCACTGGCGGGTGTTGTGAATACTGAAAACTCAGGTGGGATCAAAAAATGTCTGGACAAATTCACTGAAGTACAGTCCATTAAGAACTGTTAAGTGGAAAGCCCCAAGGCTCAGACTGGCACAGAGTCACTGCTGCCTACCCTGGTTGCTGCAGTTCTCTAGGTGTTGAACCTTGGCTGCTGCCAAAGACCAGACATTGGCCTTCACATTGGATCTACCAGGGTGCACTCTTCCCTATGTTTTCTTTATCATATTTTATTAAGAACATCTCATTTTTTTCCCCACTCTTATATTTTTAAAGCTTAGGGTTTTAGCATTGAGTGTGACATTGAATGCGGGGTTTAGGGTTCTTAATAGAGCTCTAAATGCTTCAGTGGCACGAAGAATATCCAGGGGCTGGAATACTGTCCATCACTCTAGAATATCTTTCTCTATTCACCATTGTTACAGGAGACAGTTCAAGGTGGAAAGTACTGCAAAATGCTTTTGGTACATTTAACAAAATGCTTTCTTGGGAAACGGTAAACTTGGGCAGAACAGAAATCAGATTATCTTTTTCTATTGACAGAGGAAATGGTTAATACTTAAGAAACACTGCATTTAGTAAGTGGATAAAAGGGGAACTAGGAGATAGATATCAATATAAATGAATGTCTGAACTCTTGCATACTTCTAGGAAATCTAAAGATCCCAAGGAAATCTTAATTGTTAATAAAAGTATGAAAGAGTTTTTAAAGTTTGCTAGGAACAAAAGAAAATCCGGTGGTGGCAGAGCCCAGTAACATGAGGAAACAGTAATTATGTGGCAAAGATGGAAGCATTTAAAAGGGGTGATGGTTCTGTGTGGTTAAGTGAATCTCAGTGTGAGGAGATTTGAGAAGACCAGCAGAAGATGAACGTCCTTAGCAGAAAAGAGTAAGGGAGGTAACATGGGAAACTTCAGACCTGTCATCTGGCATGAGAAAAACAATCACAAAGGTGATTTGGGATTCCTCTGATAAAGAATTAAATTCTTTAAGGCTATTATGGATTTGGCTAATAAGGTAGATTTACTGATGTAACGGATTTTTGCAAAAGCTTTTCATTGTACAAAATCCTAATGAAAAACAGCAATGTATGTAAAGTTTGTCAAAGAAGGGTGGATTGATTTTTGGGTAATCGACACTCACCCAGGGTGTTTCTAATATAAACTGATGACAGAATTTGCGGATGGAGTCAGGGGAGAAAGCTCCATGGTGGGAGACTGCAGAAGTCCCACCTGTTGACTGTATATCAAAGGATCAAATGAATCAATGGATTTATTGATTACAGTCTGTTAGTGCCGTTATAGGTTTTAAAAGGCTTTTTAATCTAGTGGAGAAAGGCATAGTATGAACCAACTAATAGAAATTGAAGCCAAATTCTCTTGGGCATATATATATCTTTCATCAATGAGGCTTTTAATCACTGGAACAAAAAAAAAAAAAGGGAGTGAGAGCTTCTCTGTTACTCAGTGTTTTAGCATCAGAAATGATTGCCTTTTTGGAAGATGCATTATAATAATGCAGGTTGCTGGAGTAGCTGAATACTTGAGTAACCAAACCTGGGATAAAAGCAGGTCAGGCTAAATGGTTCCTTCTGTCATTAAACTCTTTGAATTGAAAATTAAAATAGAGGAGAAAAAGAACAGTGTATTATATACAAAAAAAGAATTGTAGGCTTTGGGGTCCAGAAAAACCTGGCTATCCTTACAATTCTTATCCTGTGGGGATAAAACAGCAACCCCAAGCCCCACATGTGGAAGCTTATGTTGTTTACTTTCAGGCTCCTTTTCCTCCATCATTCACACTTGCTCTGCTTTAATTTTCAAATTCTATGTTAAAAGAATATAATTAGAAAGCAATATGCAGTATATTTCTGTAGCATGTGCGTACACAGCATCTTATGTTGGATAAAGCTATCGTGCAGAACATATTAAATAACTATCGCAACATTCACACTATTACACTAGGTCTATCTAGTGGGTTGTCTCACAGACTTATTTTTTTGATAGCATGTCGTACCATTGGATTAATGAAACCTGCAAGAAACCTTGCAGAATAAAGAAAAAGAACTTTTCTGATGGGAAGCTCTTTTTGATTCTCTTGGTTACAAGTGAGCTTATGCCCTGAAATACAAGGTCGTGTGGGATGGGATTCAGTTTGAGGTTTAATACAAGTGGTTGTCTGTATGTAGGTGATATGGTGGAGGTTTAGTTGGTGTTCAGTGAAAGCTAGTGAGTGACCTGGATCACTCCGAGTGGGTATTCCTAGCTATTGCCTGGATATTCCTCACTGTTCTGCAGCTGCTCAGCGGTCCAAGGGAGGTACAGGTGTTTTCTGTGTCATATATAAAGTTGTATGGATTCATCAATCCCTTCCTGATAACAGAGGTCACTGAGAACTTAGATTTACTGCTAAGGAATACTTAGTATATATCTGGCATTTTTAATAGATATGCCTACCTATCCTTAATTAGTACAGCTCGCCCTGGGTCCACATGGGATCCAGCGCAGCTTATGGATCTACTCAGGGCTTTAGGAACATCTTCAGATGGCAAACCCAGGCCGATCTCCTCATGACTTAGCTATCCTGGTGCCACGACCTGAGCTTTCTAGTTAAATAGTCAACTGTCCAGCCTTTCTATCTCAAGTTGCCCTCTTGTCTTTAAAGAGTGTTGTTAAGTCAGTAAATAACATTTCCCTTCCACTGGTTACAGAGCAGTTCCCAAGTGTACCAAGTTTGGATTCCTGGAATTACCGCCTCTGAATCCTGTTTTAAATCAGGTTCTGGCTTCTTGCTGCTGTTAAACATCCTGTAGTACTTTTTAATAAGAGTTCAGGTGTTAGTACAGCTGGTCCAAGAAAACTCAAGACAGAGTAATTACAGTCTGGTTCCCAAGTCTCCACCTTGTATTTTAGTTGGATATTGTATATTTCCTGTTGTGGAGCCTGGTGCTGAAAGGCTTTTAGTGGCCGAGTTTGAGTAGTAGGCATCTCTGACCAGAAGTTGTTCCTAGTTATAAGTTATATTTTATATAAGTTATATTTTGTAATCTAATATGTGGAAGTTGTTATTTGGAAATTTATGATCAAATATTGAAGAGTGGTAATGTTTCAGGTGCAACGAGGACTTTCTAAAATATTTTTGAAGAGAATTATGGTTTTTTAAAAGCTTCGGCTGTAAAGCAACTTTCAAAATCAACTGGGGTTGATTATATAGTTTACACTTTAAATTTTTTAACTTTTGAGGTTTTATGTATGTTACAGTGTATCCACAGTGAATTCTGTGATGTTTTACTGCTAGGTCAGCTACAGATTTCACATGTGATCCATTGAGTTTGAGGTTATATCATTACTTAAAATAAGTGTCACCCTCCTTCAAAAACCAGACTGTATGTAAAACCTTTGGACTTGGCTGCGTATTCAGTAGTTTGCAAATGAGCACTGATATTTAATCAGGATCTGATAGTGTGAATACTGGCAACAATGGTGGGACTCCCCTTGGTTTCTGGAGACCGTGCTGGTGGATTTGAACAGCAGTTTGGGAATTCACACGGAATTTTATTTTGGGGTTTATTTCCTGCATGTGAAAATAAAGCATGAAAGTGATGATGAAACGCTTCTGTTAATTCTGTCTAGCTAAAAATTGTTTTATTTAGCTGCAAAGCAGAAGCGGAGGCGTGTTTCTGAGGCGGGCCGTGAGATGGCGGTGTAGCCACGGGCATACAGGCGGTGCCAGCACCGCGTTTTCAGGGCGAAGCCCTGAGACCACACCCAGAGTCTTTCCTCAGGCCATAACTTATGACGCACGTAAATGTCAGAAACAAATAAGAAAGTGGACCTAGACCAGATTCGTTTCAGGGACTTTCAATTGCCAAAGAAGAAGAAAAAATTTTGAGGGAACAATTCCTGTGATCTCACTTGTTAGATTAGACCCAAATGACTTCAAACAGGACTGTTCATCACAGAGGAGCAAAATCTGGACGGTAGTTGTTAGTGATTCTTAGGTGTCAGGATCCACAGCATCAAAGGCTCAACTGCAGAAAGGCTCCATCATCGTCACAATCTCAGAGTATTTATGAGTCTCTTTTTGTCACTTTTTTCTTAACACTCTGGGCAATGTGCACAGAATGTAATAGATGTTTTGCAGTTAAAGAAATGGTGATTTAGAGCAAAATGCTAATAGTCTGGAAGGGTGAGTGTGTTTAAGAAGCAGGAGAAGGAATGGAAGACAAAAAGTGTACTAGAATAAAGCAGCGCTGGAAACAAGTAGAATAAGCATAGTGTTATTTTCCTATCTTAATAAAAAAAAAAAACCCTCTCTTGGGTTGTATATATAACTTACTGCTTGTCTCAAAAGCCAGCACTCCTGGAAACTGGTTTAACAACTTCCACTCCAAAATATTTGAACAATATTTGCCAGAGAGGCAGCCCTGCCCCGAAGAGCTAAAATGATACGGAGTGGTTGAAGTGCTGTTACTTGTCCTATTCCAAACCAGTTTGGCTGAAAAGCGTGCGTTAGTGGGAAATCTGTCTTGGTATTCAAATCATCAAGATGACCTAGTAGGGTCTTTTCCTTTCTCTGCACTGTGAAGCGCGGCTTGCTTTCTGTCATAAAAATTGTCATTTTAGAGAAGGTACAGCCAAGAGCGCTAGTCTCACTTTAATCTCTGTTTTCTACTGCTTACAGTTCTCTTAGCTTTTTTTTTTTTTTTTTGACTTCTAAGGTAATGTGAAACAAAATCTCATTTTCAAGGGAGATGCTTTTCCGTCCTGCCAGCTGGGGTAACGTTCTGTTCATGGTTTGCTTAATGGCAAGGGTGACATATATATGCTTAACATTGGAAATAAAAGATGTACAGAGAACCAGACATGAGATAAATTTACTACAGGTCATTTTCCTAAGATACCTGTTCCTAAGATTACCTGATAGTAATCTGATTGTGGACTGCATGTCTGTGCTGTAGCATTTTGTGTTGTAAGGTTTATGATCTGCGCAAGTGTTGTAAAAATAACAGATTCTGCGTTTATCTTTTCAAACCTAGGAATATAAAAATGGCAATTATTTTGGTGATCAGTGACTTAATCATGAAATCGGTAGCAATCTGATTTTTACTTTGATAGAAGTCTTTTGCTAGGAAAAGTGTAAATATAGAGGTATAAGGGGCTTGGTCTAGCATGCCTAATTGCAAAGTCGTTTATCAGTTATAATTGTTTCCAACTTGGATCCTGGTCCTAGGGCTTTTCCCACAGGAGTTCTCAGTTTATCCTCTCTTGCCACAGACACTCATTCCCATCTGACATATCTTGATGCTACCTGACAATTGGTTATCCAATTCAGTCTCCTTTGCCCTACATTTCAAACCATGTTCACTGAGATACTCCAGCACATATGATAACTTGTAGCGGTGTTACTGTTCTCAGGAATAATCAAAGTAATCAGACTTCTGAGCTCCACATCAGCATAACCTCATCATGCAATTGAGGAGCAGCTGGCGATATTAACCTTTCAAAATAGCCACCTCCTAGTGACAGACTGTTGTCATTCTTGATCTTTCCCCTATTTCCCAGAAGACTCTTAAGCAAAGAGGCAAAATAGGCTTTCAAAAGGAGCCTCTCCCTTCCTGTCCTTTGCGAAGTGGAGACTCCTTTGGTTTCTCAGCCCATTCTTCCAGCCCAGCTGAGCTCAGATTTTCCTCTTGGAAAATCATTGCTCCAGTGTAATCCCTGTGTCAAGCAGATCAGCTGAGATTCAGAGCTCCAGTTCTAACTGCTGCTGCTGGTAAATCACCTCATGCCCTTTCCCTGCTGATGGCAGCTTTTGGTATGATGCTGTAGAAAAATAATTGAATGAGGGTTATATGTCTGCCGACAAATGACATACATGCTTGGTCAGAATCATAGAACTGTTTACGTTGGAAAAGACCTTTAAGATCACCGAGTCCAACTGTAAACCTATCACTGCCAAGTCCACCACTAAACCATGCCCATAAGCACCCACATCTACATGTCTTCTAAATACCTCCAGGGATGGGGACTCAACCACTTCCCTGGGCAGCCTGTGCCAATGCTTGATAACCCTTTCAGTGAAGAAATTTTTCCTAATATTGAATTTAAACCTCCCCTGGCATAACTTGAATTACTCACACTTTAGCAAGAAAGAACAATCAAATAAGACAACAAAAAGCAAAATTTATGTGGCTGACTACCATGATGTTTTGGTCAACTGTCATTGTATCAAGGAACAGAAATAGCTGCTGAATTTTTAATGTTCAGAGAGTGAAAAAAAAACTTTAAAATGAATTTCAAACAATGTGCCACATATGGCCTGATGTACCCCATCTCAAAGAAATGCCAGAATATGCTTTCAGATACCCTCCTGACGAAAAGCAGGAAATAAGTAAAAAAATTAGAAAAATAGGAAAATAGACGAGAACATAAGTAACAATATATTGTATAGTTGTTTATTTCTTCCACTGATTTTTAACTAACAAATAAACAAGACAGGAAGATATAACCCAAGAGTATCTCTGCTGAAGTAAGTATGCACTGTAGACTGTAACAAAATTTTAGCTGCCTTTTGAGTAAATGAAGAAACTTAAGATTATACATGCTTTTGAAATGGCCTTGTCCTCTAGATAGACACTGTAGGAGCTTCTCTTTTGTGTAGAGATACTTGAGTTAATTTTAAATGAGCTAGTAAAGATGCTGCTGGTAGGTCGGTCATGGTTTATCATGATGACTGTGAGTACTTATGGTAGGTTATTTTAGGCTAGCTAGCTCGGAAATTTGTTGTTTTATACAGAAACCAGCCGTATGTAGAGGTCTGAAGATCGGAAGCTCCACAAGCTCTTCATTATATATACTCACAATCTGCGTCATGTGAGCTTCTGTTTCCTTCTGTGGTGCAAATACATACTACTGGTTCCTACAAGAGCTTCGTAACAGGAGCTGATAATGGTTGAGCCATGATTTAAAATCACATCATGTCAGAAATTGTAATTTAACTTGAATATGGGTGGGATTTGGCCTAGAAGGTATGTTAAACTTGCTAATCTAACCACAATTGTATGTATTTTCTCATATGATTTTTTTCCAATAGGGTCAAGTTCATTATCAAAGATTTAAAGTGATGGAATACGGTAAGTTTTACTTAAGGGCATTTAGTAGCGACCAAAATGGGTAGTTGGTTCTCCATTAATTTAGACTAGCTTCCCTTGGCTAGCACAAACCTTTTGAATACTCCCAGAAAGTCTAATGTCCAAATCTCTTGCTTCTCTGAGACTGACTCTGTGTCCTGGGAAAAACGTTGTCTTATCAGCTGCTGTGTTTATCTTTGGTAGTTTTAATGACCTACCACTGTAGTGTCTGGATTTCACGCAATCTTTAAAATACTTACTTTAAGCCTATGAGATGCAGTTATTGTCCCTGTTTTTCCAGAATCATGCAGGCAATGTGGTCATCCCAAAATATCTGTATAATGTCTGATCATGAAGCTTGCTGATGATTCTGTAAAGGCCGAAAAAGCTAAACATTTTATATTTCAGTCTTAAAAGCTTGTGTGCAGGCTGCTCCTATGATGCTTGTTCTCCTTTCAACAAAAAGTCTTAGTCTGGGGCATGCATGAGATTGGGTTAAAAATATATCTTACCTTATATTCCTTAGGAAACTGTAGTAGTCTTTATAATATTATATGTCCTACCCTTACTACTTAAAAAAAGAAAAAAATATTATTTCTTGTGTGAATTTAATGCTTTCTGTAATTTTTTTTTTAAGTTTTACCAAAATTTGATGTTATGATAACAACACCATTATACTACTCTTTGAAAGAGGAAGACGTAACTGGTGTTGTCACTGCAAAGTAAGTAAATCATTGATACCATTGTCACCCTCACTCTTAAGAAAATTATTGTAGGTCTCTAAGAGTCAAAGTGAAAACTTATATTTAGAATGTTAAAAAAGTACCTTCTAGTCAAAATTAGTTGGCTAGCATCCATTTCTAGTTACTGGATTTTGTGATAACAATGTTAGATAAATCTTCAGACTTCTAGTTGTTTTTTTGGCCTGGTAAATGTATTTCTAGACTATAGCCAAGACACTTTTAGCTACCTTATTCAGAAAATTTCTTGAGTGTTTTACTTATGATGTATATTTTGAGGCCTTTTTTTTGTTTGTTTTTATGGCTCTTTTATGGTGCTCTCCAATTTATCACATCAAGGTCTGTAGGTAGAGTAACTATATTTTATTAGACCACTTGGAAAATTATGCAAACTTCTATGCACATCTTTCTTGATCTAATTTATCCACATTGTGGATTTGAAGTATAGTCTTCTCCTGCCTATCAAAATACCTATACCTATAAATGGGTGAAGCATTAAAAACTCTTGAGAAATTCAGAAGAGACTTCACTGTAGACTATTGTATAAATAATATTTTATTTTTCAGCTGAACAAATATCTAGACAAAAAATTTAGCATGCATTAATCTCAAATAGAAATTAATTTTATTTCGGGAAGATGAGAGCCAGATAGAGCTACCTGGTAGATCCATTCCAGAAGACCTGAAATAAAAGGTCTTTTGTGGGTTATTTAATGCCATAAAATACATACCTTCTAAACAAGCGCTTCATTTATAAGTGAAATACAGAAATGATTGTTTAACAAGCTATTTAAGTTAAATATTTGGACTTTTGAGAAAAAGCTTCCTTTCCTAGAGGGAATGCAACCTGATATTATAAACCATCTAGGTTTCTCATAAGGGGCAATTTTTTTAAAAAGGTTTTCCTCAATTTTTTTTCCCATTCTGCTTTGCTTTTGGAATCCATTATATGCCAATGTGAATTTAGTTTCCTAAGTTGTTTTGGTCTTCCACAGGGTACTTGGCTCCTTCATTAGGTATACTCGTAAGATACTTGAAAGTGTACCTGTCTGCTGCAATAAATCCAGACTTGGATGCAAGTGAATTGTCTGAGATTGAATCCCAGCAGTGCAAAAGTTTTACTGATATGTCATAATTATTTATAGGGAATGACTTCATTCCTGGTGACTGTTTTTATAGGCATAATGCCTCTGTATACAAAGAGTTTATATGTTCCTTACACTTGTAGATGTCGTAAAACCCTTTTCCTTTCTCATCTCTGAAGTATTATTAGATTAAGTTAAGTACAGGGATGCTACCCAATGACAGTATCATTTCAAGGTTAATGGCAGCTTATTACTGTAATTAGGTCTGCTTGGAAAGACTGAGTTCAGGTGCAAGACAGTGTTGTTAGAGTTCTTCCTGTAACTATGCTATTTGATTATTCTTTCCCTCTGCTTTTCAGCTTTGATATTTCTTAAGGGGCTGCCAATCAAATCCATAATGATTTAAAGTACTTAAAGTTACCATATCTGAATGTATTACTGCTGATGGACTAGAATGATTTTGGGTTCCTCCCTGCTTTCTCTGTCTGAATCTGATAATGTCATGGCTTCTCTTATGTACAACTTGGAAACATTTATACAAAATTTTTATTTTATTGCTGCTCACTGACTGCAGGTTGCTAATGGCATTCTAAGAAGTGAATATGTTACAGTTTTCAGATTTGCCACAGCTGCAAATTATGTTTGCCATTTAATAATGCCATGATTTCTTTGGACTGTGATTACTAAATAGTTTGAGTACAAATATCTTGAGATCTCTCATTTTGTGTTGGCAGCATTTGGGAAGCAAAACACTTGCACTTCCCACGTCCCATTTTGACTCTACTGCATATTAATTATGATGCTACATTGGTGTTCTATTCAATAACTTGCTTTCAGCTTAGCTTAATATAGTTAATTTTCCTACATTGTACAGCCCATAATAATAGGAATGGGTCTATAGAGCTCATGTGCAGGAAAGTGCAGCACTGTGTATCTGCTCCAGGTTTTGGGCTTCTGACTTTAGTGTTGACAAACTGGTCTCGGTATTGAAAACTCCATGTTTCAAAGTACAAATGTGTTCTAGCCATGTTTGAGGCCAGGGAAAAATATTTTAGTAGAATCTTTTCCCTTGAGAGCTCTTCAGGAGCCCAAGCCCTGGAGGTGGTGTGTTGTTTGACTTTGACTGATGTGTTTCAGGTACACGTATGGAAAGCCAGTAAAGGGAACTGTAACAGTCACTTGCCTTTCTGTCTCTTACTGGACAAATAAGAGAAATATAACAACAACAATGGAGGTGAGTCTTCTGTTAGCAGTTTGTGGCGTTGTAGACTTTAAGCCTGTGTCCCCCTTTGTAGGTTACATATGCCTGGGACCATTCTTGAGTGCTGAGTTCAGCTGGCATGGTCTATGGAGTCACTTGCATGAATAGTGTTAAACTCTCTTTAATTTCCAAAATAAAGTGTCGACATTCAGACTACTTGTGGGAATGATACTTGGGCACTGTGGTCCCTTGAACTGTGCCTGGAAGTTATTTTGGAGAGTGCTAGTTGGCCCAGGTAGAAAAACGTTCCAGGAGCCGCTGTAGCAGCGTAGGTGATGGAGGACCCACGCCCAGGAACGCTCCCTGGCCCCGTGTGTGCCCCTACACACGCAGCCCTGTGTTACAAGGCCAGAGGAGACCACTGCAATTGTCTATGTGGAGACCAAAGTGTTTTGCCTAGTAAGTACATTGGAGTTACTCTTCTAGTTGTAACCTGGAGCATGAAATTTAAAAAGTCATGCGGTTTTGATCTGAAGACTTAAAAGTGGTGATAGATTCATGGCATCCTTTTGCAAAATCAGTCATTTTACTTTTGAGCTGTGGACTATGTTTAAAACAGGTTCAATTTCTGCTAAATTATGTGCCTGTTGTTTTCTGTTGGCTGACTTCAGCAGTTGGCTGACTTCAGTGCCTTCAGCAGCACTTAGCCCACAGAAACTCTCAGCTCAGGGGTGCTTGATAGGGTGTACCCTGCTCCTCAGGCAGAGACCTGTTCATTGTATTTTTCAGTAAAGCATAGGCACCACTGCTCTGGCCATATAGAACTGGATAATTCTAGATATTAGGGGAAAAAAAAAAGTAACTTTCTCCATAAGGCATTGTTGACTAAAAAGTAATGAACTTCTACTGGATTTAATAAAAATGGTTACTGAGAGCAAAAAATAAAGGTCAGCTTTCATAATTTTCTGGTGTTGATACTCCAGAACTTGTGTGTGGGGAGGGCTACAGGACTTAACCAGAAATAAGCTGTTGTAGATGGAAAGGTGTCCTTGGCTTTGCTGGCTCAACATTTTTTTTTTTTTTTGTTCTCCATTGCAGATAAATGGATCTGTGAATGTAACCTGTAACAAGCTTATGTTGCAAAGCTTGAACGCTGATCAGTCGTGGCACCAAGGAGACAGTGATTACACAGAGCCAATAGAAATTATTGCAGTGGTCACTGAGTCGCTCACAGGTATGTGGCTGTGTGATGTCTTCCGAGAGAAATCCAAAGAGTAGGTGGTGCTGGAAGAGCTTACCGCTGTGTGGAAGGGCTTGGAGTGCTAGAAAAGCATCATGTGCTGATGGCAGTATGAACCATCTACATGCAAATATATTATCTGAAAAAAAATATTATCTGAACTGTTGCTTGCCTAGATATTAAATAGTTTAACCAGCTGTTAACTCAGTTGAATACAGTTCTATGCTAAAAAGTTTATTAAATAACCAAGAAATATGTTCAGATGCAGGCTTAAAGTCAATGATTGATCACTTTTGATTAGAAGAACAGGCATAAAGAATTTCTAGCATTAGCCTGAGTCTTACAAACTTAGTTTAATCATAAACTTACCTTGTTTGTTTGTGAACCACATCAGTAGAAAGACTTCTCTGGCCCCACGTTGTCCACTGTCTACCCTCTTCTAGACCAGCTGATTTACAAACTGAGCCTTTTTGTGAGTTCATGTTCCACTGCACCTTGCATATTAGAAAAAAAATCATTTGTACAGAATTTCTGCCTGTCCCAGAAACTAGGTTTCATTAGTGACTTTCTGTAGAAACCCTGGCAAGGTGAAGTTGGCTGATTTGGGATTCATAAGTTCCTTCCTTGTGTCATTCTGACATAGTCTGCATGGAGTAGAGCGCTATGTGGTATGGATTATTTAGCGTTGTGGAAGACAGTACCAGTACATATACCACCTTTCTACTGATCCTTAGCCGGACAGATGAAGAGTGACAGGAGTAGAAATGGTGAAAAATATGATAGAATTATTTAAAAATCATGGATAGTATTATTAAATAGTATTGCTGCTAAAGGAATATGTATGTTAAAAGCATGTTGTCTAAACACATACAATTATTCAACAGGAATCTCCCAAAATTCAAGTACCATCATATTTCCAAAGCAAAGTGACTATTTTATTGAATTTATGGACTACACTAGAGTTATAAAACCGTCTCTGAACTTCATAGCTACTGTAAGTTCTTTTGTTTTATTATGATCTGTGCATAAACAAATGTGACTTCTTCTCCTGCATTTTTGCTTAGATGCCAAAGTTTGCCTTGGATTTTTAAGTATAATTTACAGATTTGTTTTCAAATTACCTGTTTTTCATGATACATATTGGCAGATACTAATCTTAGAGGTGTTTGCTCTAGAAAAGGATAAAGTGGCAGGGAAAGCTCTAGTGTATATATTTGAGTATAGTTTGTCAGCATTCTTATGGAAGAGAAATCTTTCTGGTTTATAGCTGTTTGTTTTCCATTAGGTGACTGTGCTTTAAAACAATAGAGTAGTTATTGAGTCCCAACCCTCCTAATAATATTTGTATATGGAAGTTCGTATATATATACACACACAAATATATACTTTATATAATGGATATATATATAATTAAGCAGCATATTGCATATTGCCTAACTGCATTTTGCTTGAAAAGGGGAATCGACTTTACAATTCTTGAGCCTTTACTGTATAGAAATCAGACCTAAATGCCAATAAAATAGGCTGAATATACACTTTCAGAGTAGATTGGCTCAAGCCATAGCTTTGTGCTAGCCTGATCATTTGGGTGTTTGGTTTTTGTCCTTTTCATTTTCCTTGCCAGCATCCCAGTTTGACTCCAGCTCTGACCTGCTGCTTCTTCCTCTTCCAAAGGTGAGCTGAGTGAGAGTTAGCTGAGGCATTTAGCAACGCTTGCAGCTGGCAGAGAAGAAGGTATCAGTTATGCTCCCAGAGGAGTGTGAAGGAACAACTGCTGCTCTTACTAGTCAGTGTAGACTCTGTACAGAGAGAGGATAGGAAGATAATGGCTGAGGAGGAAAGGTAATGGAGTGACAGACCTCTGGATTGAAAAAGGGAAACATTAGTTTGCTGCTTTTAAATGTAGAAGTTGAATTTTTGGAGTGTGGAATGCAGAAGGATATTGGTTTTGCTATGAATGAGAATCTGCTTGAATATGGGACTAAAGGTTGATGTAAGTTGTGGTGCTGGTTGATGGATGCTGGAGTTGCAGACTGTCAATTTTGGGCCTGTTTTAAGTCTTTTCTTCAGCTCATTTGATGAATCCATAAAGACATCTGACTCAGCACCATCTCTGCTCATCTGAGACATTTTCTGGCACATGATGTAATGTTAGGATGTCCTTTGTTGTAGTAGTGAGATACAAGTGATAAAATTAAATATTCAGGCTGTAGGTAGGATATGTATAATTTGTGTGAGAGACAAGCATCTTCAACAAGAAGAGTAATTGGGAGAGCTGAAAGGCAGGTCACCTTTCAGTTCCATCTGCTTTGCTTTTGCTCTTTTTTTATTCCCTGGAGTTATGAATAATTTTGTTCTTGGACAACTTGCCTACCTGCAGTGCTTACAAGGGATTAAAAATAAAGTTACTGATGTGTGAGAAATGTGAGGATGCCCTTGGTTTTTTGATATGGTGTGAGTGCAGATATGGTTACCTGTCATGCATCGTGCATTTTAGCTTTACCCTGTTTGATGGGTGTTTTCTTTCTTTTTGTTTTTAGCTAAAGGTGACACGTTCTGATAGTAACCAGCTGACAGCTGAAGAGAGGCAGAATCTTGTCACAATCACTGCACAACAGTCAGACCTGCTTTTTCACCACTCTTCACTTTCTCACCTTGAGAATGAGGCAACAGAGGAGAGAAATCTGACAGTCCATGTCCTGAATTACACGGTCCCAGAAAATGGAATAATTGATATTGAGTTTCCAATCCTGTCTGATACAAAAACTCTGAGAGTTCAGGTATTGCTTTGTAAAATGTTACTTTGGAGCAGTGGCATACCAAATTGAGCGGGCTGTGATATGCTATTCTTGCCATCTGCAACAGCTGATATGCCACCTACTGTTATTTTCCTTACCTCATATTCATGTTTGAGCTGGAAAGAAAGTGACAGATCCTGTCTAAATGTGATCTAATAATTGCACCAAGATAGCAAGGGAAAAAACAAAACAGATAGATACCCAAAGCAAGCAGTAAAGTGGTCCTGAACTGCAATTAAGGCTACCATGCTCTTGTAAACAGTACCATATATGTGAACATCACACAGATTTTTCTGTTTTCTTAAGAGCTTTGTTTTGCATTGTCTCACAGGCAGAGTTCCTCAGCAGTAGGACCGACATAGGTGTTTATGATGTGTTCAGCTCCCCCAGCCAGACCTATCTCCAGGTTAAAACAAAGAGCCAGGATATAAAGGTACAATCTGAGACAAAACTTGCCAAGATACGAACTGTTCGAGTTACTCATCATGTTTCCATACTCATCCATATGAATCGTATGCTTTTCCTAGGCTGGGAAGCCTTTTGAGCTGAGCATTGCAAGCAACAAGCCAGTGAGAGAGTTCCACTATCTGGTAAGTTACTGTTTTTATATATGGGGATAACCCAAGGTGACTTTTTCCAACTTGAGAAATACTCCAGTGAGTGGAATGTGATTGAACGTTAGAGAGATTCAGCATTTTTTATTGTGCTTTGTGAAAGAGGTGGCCCAAAAACTTCCTTTCCACTAGGATGGTCCTTTTTGAAAGAGAGCTCCATTTCGCTACCTAGCAGAAATCCCCATGGCACTGTAAGGAAGTGGTCTCTGGGAGAAGTGTGTCTCTGATTGGGGTGTTCGGTTATTGCTGCTTGCAGCTGTGTGAGACAAGGCTCAACTGTAAGAGCAATACTGTCTCTGTCTGTGCAGGGCACCTGCGATGGCAGAAGGGGCAGGGATGTCCCAGGAGCAGCCCAGGCTGGGACTTGTCAGCAGGACCTTGTCAGCAGGTCCACCAGCAGATGCAGGTGGAAGAAGGGGGCTGGTGGAGCCTGTACGCAGGTTCAGGACTGTCAGGGCTGAGCCTGCAGGCACGGGGTGAGGAGAAGACCTGCCTGCTGAGGAAACAGATGGTCCAGAGCGCAGGGTGGCATTTTTAACAAGGGAGCTTCGTAGGAAGCATTTTAAAATAAATGGCTTGGGTAATGGCTTGTTTAATGGCTCAGCTGCTGTACTGTATGTTACAGCATCTGGATTGAAGGGTTTCTTATAAATACCATCATCAGTCTCCCATCCTGTCTTTAACACATGCCTGTCTTGTGCACAGTCTACACCATAACGATCATGATAACTACAATTCTTTTTCTTTCAGAGACTTTAATAGTAAACTGAATAAGTAAAACCTTGGGACAATATAAAATGTGGGCATTCATGTGTATTTTCTAAAACAGAAACACTCTCTAGAAGACTTAAAAAAAATCACGTCCATGCAGTCAAAGGCAGGGAACTGCCCTTCATGGCTCTGTCTTCATTAGTAAGTGGTATGGTCCAATAGGAACAGATTTAGAGTGAAAAAGTTGATGCTGTGGGCCTGAACTCCAGGTATTTCATGGTACCTTCAGACTAGGTCTAATCTGATCTGGTAAAATGAATGCCTGTTTTTAACTGGAACACGTTAGTGGGCCCCAGTTCACACTCTCCATGGTGCAAACCAAAGTGTGGTAAGTACGGGTGTTTGGGAGATTTGCTTTTAAAATTATATTCCTGATCCAAACTCAAATGCTATTATAGATGACCCACATGACCTAGCTGTATTACTGTTGTATTTTTACGTTGTCATAGCATATGTTGTGCTGTGCACTCATTGTTGTAGTTCTTTACTTCTCCATTGTGATACAGGAATTAAAGCATGGACAAAATCTATTTCTAATATTTAAATATTACATTACCCGCCTGTTCCATACCCAGTCTCATAGAACTGGTCAACCACTTAGTTAAAAAAAAAAAAAATCACAGCTATATGTCTCTTATTTTAACAGCTATTTGCAGAAGAAATTGCAGAGCTTATGACATATTGAGATACCAACAGGTTGAGTGTTTCATTTTTTTCTTTCAGGTGTTATCTAAGGAACAAATTATGGCTTTTGGCACAAAGACTGCAAAAACATTCACTTTAACAGCAGAAAATTCCTGGGCTCCTTTGGCATGTATACTTGTATTCTACGTTGATGAGCTTGGAGTGGTTGTAAATGATGCTCTCACTGTCCCCATTCAGCCTGTTTTGGATGACAAGGTAACTATATTGAACTTGAGTCTGAGATCATGTTTTTGTCTGTTTGTTGCATGGTAAACAGTATTTTAGATCATAGGATTGTAAATGTAAAAAATTCCTCATCGAGGATCTAATCTGAGGTTTGTGTAAGTCCTTGGAAGGACTTTTGATAATACCAGTGAAGTTAGGGTCCAGCTGTTGCATATCTGAAAGAAATTTCTACTGGCCCTATGTTTTCCACATAAACAGATGCACAGCGTCTCCTTGTGTTTTTAACAGTTTGGTCAATTACTGAGCCAAAGATTGCTCTGGCCAATGTAGTGGAAAGGTACTCATAAGTGCTCTAAGTGTGGAACTGTAAACGTTTATGAAGACATTGTTCTAGCCAGACAGTGGTCACCTTGTACATGGTGTGTCATCAGTGAACGTGGCCAGTGTTCGTGTTTCATGTGACCGTGCATACTTTAACTCAAAAAAGCTTGAAGAGGAGTGGGAAAACTACTATTGCAGCAATGAAATGATTTTCCCAGCTTACTCACCAGGATGAGATTTGGTTCTTTGTGCAAATAAAAGCCTCGCTGTGACTTTTTACAGGTGAGACCACCCAAAGGCTCTCAATGGGTTCAAATTCTTCCTCCCCTATGGAAACTCTAACACTTATAACCAGACATCAGTAGGGAGACTGTTTGTCTTACTCCTGCATGAAAAATTTCTCCATTTGCTTCATGATTTATCCAAACTCAGGATATGAGCGTTGTTATCACAGGATAAGGAAGTGGAGAGGCAGGATGGTGAGAGAGCTGCAGGCACATGTTTGTTGGTTATGGTTATTATGTACCAGTATCTGAAGAATCTAAATAAACAGAAAACAAATAAGATAATTTAGTTGAAACTTAGGAATTTTAGGATAGCTATAGGAAGATATTTCTAATGAGGAAGGCATAACAGTTTGGTTCAGCCTTCTGGAAACAAGCTGAAATCTTTCCACTGATTGCAGTGTCCACAAATAGATTGCATTATATTTTGTAGAATTGAGGTGAGGCCTGATCTTGGAAACACCAGTTTGATTATAGTTTATGGATGAAAAACACGATCCTAGTGTATATACAGAGAGGATGAAAAATTGAGATGATTGATAAATTATGAGAATTTAGTATCAACCTACTGTATTTGCTGTATTTCACTGGATAATGAAAAAATGTAAAATAAGGAAAGAACTGATCTCAAAGGCTTCAAAATTTCAAGCTATTTCCGTTTCGCCATTTCAAGCTAGCCACTGAAATTAATTCAGTACTGTGGAAAGCTACTTTCTCTGCAATTGGTAACCTTGCCTAACATTTGATTTCTGTAAATGAGTTGGTAAAATCAAATATACAGAGCCGCAGTGCCATAGCGTACCCAGAAACAAACCATTTTTCTGCGTGAATCAGTCTGATGCCCATTTACAGTGAAGCATATGTTGCTAATCCCATTTATGTTGGCAACATTATTGTGTTTGCTATTGCTCTGTGATTTTCGTACTGAATGTGCTTGGAAGATACCATTACACAGTTTTATCAGAGGAAGGGTATGATGGGGCTGTAGACTGAGACATCTAAATACATGTATTTACGTGTAGGGTCAGGATTCAGTTGCTTAAGCACAGACATCTAGTGTCCTCCAAGAGGCCACAGGGTATTCAAGACATCATCATGGGATGGGTGGATGTTTCAAAGGTCCTATGGGAGACCTATCCCTTTCTGGAATGGGAGCTGAGGGTCAGACAGCGTGCTGTGGGACAACTCAAGTGTTTCCAGGTGCCTTCAGGTGACTGAGTCTCATCTCTGTATGTGAGTTATATGTCTAAACTCAGTTTACAGAGAATCAGTTGCTCCAAAAGAGTGTGGTTTTAAGTTATTCTTCCTGGGCTCCAATGTCTGCTCCAGAGGGGCAGGTTATGTGTCCTGTCTGGCAGCACCACTGGATGTGTCTTGGATACCTTTGAACATCTCAAATGGCACTAAGTGCCAGTGTTTATGTAACTGAATCCCACCCACAGCCAGTACAGTCAGTGGCGCCTGTAGGACTGTTTTCTTTACCACCACTTGGATTTATGCTTCATGGTAAGCCAAAGTGCTATCTAGTCTCCATTATTTCTTTTGACTCTGTGTGTGATGGGAGCTTAAACACTGAACTGAAATGTGGACAGCTAAATGTAGGTAACTTAAGTGTGGAGCTAAATTCTACGTCAAGACTTTGTAGTAGTGGTGTTTTGATGAGGGAAAAGAGTAAAATTGTTCATTTTAAACAGAAATTCTGCATTGTCATCTGATGCAGTGGAGATGGGATGCATTAGAAATACCTTACAGCAGATGACCTTTCCTCTCTTCAGTACCCCAGGGAAGGCATATTGATGCTGTATTAGCCTATTTATTTCCTTCTTCCTTACCCATGCACCTATTACATATATCCCTTTTCTGTATTGATCTCACTGTGGAACACTTACTTGTAATCTTTGAGGGCTGAATTTTTTCCCAAAATAATCTTTCCTTAAATACGTTACATGCTGTATTGTGCATTGATAAGCAGTGAATGTGTTTCTTTTACTGCCCTCAGCTGTAGAAACTGGTGTATCTTTGTGGCTCAAGCGATTGCTGCTCATATACTAAGAGCTGGTTGAAATAAATGACAATGGATCCTGATGCTGACTTCCCACCAGTCCAAGGAACTGATGAGCTAAGAGAACAAGAGAGCAACATGAATGACGTAGTGTTTTCCCAAAGTTCCTAGGAAAAGCTAATCCGGAGTCTTAATTATAGCCAATTAAGCAAAGAAAATGCTTCCTTGGAGTTGTTAGTGGCTGTAAATGTCACTGTATAATTTAAACCAGTGCCGTTTTTTACTTTTTTCTAGATTAAAATCTCTTGGAGCAAAGATAAGGTCAAGCCATCTGAGAAAGTCTCCCTTAAAATCAGTACAACAGAACCAGGATCAGTAATTGGACTTGCAGTTGTTGATAAAAGTACAAAGCTTCTAGGAGAAAGCAGTGACATAACAGAAGATTCTGTAAGTAAATGGGAAAAAAGGTTTTCATTATTGCGTGTATGAAAGATCTATGTTTATGGAAATGTTACAGTTCTGTGCTGAATGAGTAATGTTCTTTGAGCAGGATTTTTAGTCCTTAATTATGCAAATATTTTTTACTTCTGCAAGTAGTTTACCGACGCGAGAGGAAAAGACTGTAAGGCTTACAAGGTAATAGGCCCAGCATTTATAATTCCAACTAATACTTTATTGTTCTTCCATTTGATAAACTGCTCAGTTAAGACTTGTCAGTTTCTTTCAGGAGAGACAAGAAAGTCAGAAAAACTCCCTAATGATTTGTGCTTTGTGCTCTTCAAAATTAGTAATATAAAATAAAGAAAGAATTTTATTATTTGAAGAGCAGAATAAATTCGTCTTTTTGAATTCCCTTTACGTGCAGAAGCTCTAGTGCATCACCGATTTGAAAGAGCTGACAAAATACATCATTTCAGAAGTGCTCAGATGACATAGCCTAAGTGCCATAGAATATCAGTGGGCTGTAGGCTCCTGTTTTAGGCTTATATAGTCCTGGTCACTCTTCCATTAATCATGAAACCTTTGCAGCCTAATCTCCTTCATCCTGTCACGGATTCTTTTCTCTTTGACATGAGAGCTAAGTGAGCTGCTGCTTGAGGTACAGCTCTATGAATTAGCATCTACAACAGTGAAAGTTCTGAAAAATGTGAGTTTGCATTCACTCTTTGGATGATTTTTTCTTGTCTTAGGTCTTCCATGAGCTCAATTTATACAGCACAGTGCAGTATTTCCCCTTGGTCAGAGGTTCTTTTGGTGTCTTTCAGGTACCTTTTTTTTTTTTACTTCTAAGCTGTTTTTTTTTACTGCTTACTGATTTGTACATCACTTGCTAGAAGAAAATGCCCCTTTCAAAGTTTGGGACTGGCGACAATGTACATGGCTTGTATGGGTTTTGAATTGTGAAATTTATCACTATGTAAATACTCTGAATGCAAAGAAATATGTTTGTATTTTCATGAATACAGATTGCTTATGCTTGATATTGTCTTCTCTTTGAAAAGTTTTCAGTCAATAAGGCAATATTCAGATTCAGATGATCTCAATTTTGTTGGTTCCTGTATATTACTTGCTTTAGTTCTATGATTGCTTTATTATGATTTTATTTTCTTAAAAAAAAAGAAAAAGAAAATAGATAAGCACTGTTGATGTCCTGAATGTCCTGTATTGAGATATACTGTATAAATTTTATCCAGAAATGCAGCCTTTGGGTATCAACTGATGCAATTCTTGAGGAAGATAAGGAACATTTTCTTTGTAAGTAATAAAAATAATTGTAGCCAAATCTAATGAATGTACTGAGTGGGGAAGGAGGTCCATGGGTTAGGGCCCCTGTTAGGTCTTCTTACTGTACTGCATACAGGCTGCATCCAGCCTTGCAAACCATTACCATTTCCAAGGTTCAAGACATACAAAATGCATATAGTATTTTAAAAAATTCCTTTTTGCTGCTGTCCTGAGCAACACTACCACTTAAAGGCCTGAGGGTGAACGGAGTTTTTATTTGCAGTTCCAGTTGATATATGTTGCAGTGGTTTGTCATGTATAGCCATATTACACCAGTTACATAAGCACTCCGGAGAGGCCATGTAGAAATTTGTGTGAAACTTTTTTTATTCTTAAAAAAAACAAGCAAGAAAAAAAAATAGTTCCTAATGTCACAGAGCAGTGTTATCATATGTAACAAAGCTATAGATTATACTCCAAACACTGTATTAATTTCACTTTTCTTAACTGTATTAATTTGATTTTTGTTAAACCTAGATATTTGTAGGTAGGACAATATTTTTTATTTTGTAGATGGTGGAATGATACCCATAGAAGATGGTTTCGGTGATGATATGCCAGTATCTAAAAATGGACCTCCTGATTTCATCAATCTCTATGTGAGGACACATTTTCCAGAGACTTGGCTTTGGATCGACACTAAAACTAGGTATAAGATTAGAAGCAAATGGAAACTGATTTACACTTGCCGTTGTTATTTTCTAGGTATTAGTAGCATTCTGCACTGGTGCTGAAGAACTGTTTAAAAATGTAGTATTATTTATATTCTACTACCACCTACAGGCCGCAAGTGAGATTGGAGACCCACTCAATGAGGCATTGTACAACTGCACAAAATAGGACAATGCCTGACTGAAGGCCTTGTAGTTTCAATAGAAACTAGATAAAACTCCTGGAGACAAAATAAACTCTCTTCCTTTTACAGATGGGGAGATAACAGATAGGGACACCCAGTTTTTTTCTCTACAGTACATGAGAAGATGGTGATTAGCCCGGACAGGGAAATCTGTTCCTGTCTGCACCTAATTCAACGAGCAGTTCAAACTGTCAAATGATGGTGAAATCTGACCTGTGTTGTGAAGCACAAATCTTGTATTCTTTCACAGCTGAGAAGTTTGGGAAGCAACCGTCACCTGGGATTGTTTTAAAGGATCTGTAAAAATTGATTACATGTAATGTGATTCAATGTAATTACCTTCAATTCTTGTAATTTAAAATAATTTTATTTTTTCTAATCATTTTGATCCCATCAAAAATATTTCTAAATGATTAGGAAAAGAAAAACAGATGATCAGCAGCTTTTCTTGCCAAGAGTTTGGACTTAAGTTTTGATGCATTTTAAACATTTTTGTCCACTTACTGATATCTGTAAATGGATGCTTTTGAAAGTCTGCTCTCCCCTTCTGCCATCAGATCTGACACAGACACCACAATGGAAGTCATTGTACCTGATACCATCACATCCTGGGTAGCCAGTGCTTTTGTGATGTCTGAAAACAGCGGGCTTGGAGTGACGACTGCTCCAGTGGAGGTACTGTGGCACTAGACAGTTCTCCTTTAGATGCTGGTAACACTGCAGGTTATTACTGGAAGCTGTATTTTATTTCTAACAGCAGCCGTCTCCTTATATTAATAGAGTGCTTGAGAGGCTGTGTATATTCAAACTGTAAAGAAAACATCATCACTGAAGACATAGGTGATAACTGTATTTGCCTCCCCTTCCTGCTCATATAAATATCTCAGACATTATACAGATAATTGGATACCTATTTCCATTGGAGCAATTGTTTTGTTAGAGCACTTTCAGGATGTGCCCACTTCAGAATCTTCCTATGTAGAAAGGGGGAATGACGACAGCGTGTTTCCATGTTTTCTTGGCTCTGCCAAGAGGGCTTTCCATGAATTGATTGTGCATGCAGGGATGTTGCACAGACTAGCTGGGAAGAGGTGGTGGGATGGGAGAAGCACGCTGTCTGCTGGAAAGATCATGCCACTGCGCTGCTCTGCTAATACCTCAGGAGGGAGGATGGGAGAATTGCTTAGACTAAATTCTAGCCTTGCTTTCATTTATCTGTCAAAACCAGCCTTGGACTAAACATAGGTTCTACTTTTTGGGTGACTTAGCTTGAGGAGCAGAGCGGACACTGAGAGCCAGTGGTGGGATGAGATGCCTCTTGCTGCCCAGTTCTTGTCTCCTGAGGCTCTTTTTGTGCTTCCAAGTGTTTGAGTTGTTTAGCTATTTAAGCTAAATTCAGCTTAATCCTCAGGTTAGATCTCTAACCTGCGATTCACAACATACAAGGGCAGTTGTCCTAGGCTCACTCTGTATTCATGGTAGCAGCTGCTTAGAGAGAATTATTTAGCCTGTTTAAAATAGGAATTACTTTTTGAAGTCTCATTTAGCTAGTATTTTATATACATTGAATAATCCTCCGAAGGTAGTTATCTCCTTCCATTCATTATGTAAAGAATCTATATGTGCCTAACTGAGAGAACTCCATGTAAGTGCCTAAGGTTAGAAAGGTGGAAACTGTGCAGTACTGGGTCATAGATTTCCAACTTGATGCCAGGACTACTCCAAGCATAGCTTGGAGGCAGCCATTTACCCGTTTAAGTTCTCATGCCCTCAGATTCGTGGGGAGGGGCAACTTTTGGGATCCAAACCGAGATCTAGGTCCAGATTTCATAGTTGGCTGCTACACCAGACACAGAACATGTGCTTTGAACATCCTGATCATAACTCCACCACAGAATTTGGAGCCCAATCTGGATTTTGCGGCTAATGCTCCTTTGAGACTAGAATCATGATTCTCATTTCTTTCACTCGACTTGGCAGAGATGGGACAGAAAGAGGAATAGTTTTCTGATTCAAACTGTATGAAAATATATGCTTGGCCTCTCATCCTCAAATTTGAGAAGGCTGCAAATACAACAGATGTTGAGATTATTATTCAACTATAATCACCCACATGCGCTGTTCAGTACTTCACCCTCGTTGGGATGTTTATATTGTGCTTAGAGTTCCATATGGCTGAAACATGTTAATCAGTACCATACAGAGAGGCAAATAAAAGAAATGCATGGAAACTGGAGTGGGGAAATAAATAAGTGACATCTGCGTGCTTAATGTCATTTACCGCTTTGCATCTTGTTTTTATTTGACTTATACTACACAGAGTGTCGATAATTTTACCCTGCCATATTTTGTTGTAGTATACTGGAATATTGCTGAGTGTAAAACTTTAGTATTGCAAGAGTTTTAGAGAAAAGCAAAACAAAAAAGACAAAGAAAATAGGTACATAGGGAAAACTTCCACTAAGAACTAACCAAAAATTCTCCATCAGAACTTCTCTAATGTCTAATATTTAAAGAAGTTTTTGACACTGAAAGCTTTAGGAAACAAATTTTCAAAGTTCTAAAAAGAAAATGTTGGAATACTTGCTTGCTAGAAAGAAAGCTGAGGGGTTTTTGCATTTGAAACTCAAAACACTTGAAAGAATTTTTTTAATAAAAACCAAATTAAAACCGTTTTTAGTTGACATTTCAGTAATAAACGGTATCATGCTTCAGCCATTCTTATTGTACAGATGTTCATAAACAGTGAAATTTTGATCCTATTCAGCTCGATGAGAGCTTACCACTGATTTCTTAGAGCCAAGACTTCATCCAAAAACCTCTGTTCACAGATAAAAGTAACTGCTTGCTGGTGTATTTCTGCAGTTTTTATTTTAATTAAGAAAAGATGTATTTTTACAAATATAACTAAAGAACTTATGCCAAGATTAATCTTACAAAATAACACATCATTCTAAGGTGTTGGTGAATTACGGAATTCGGGAGAGTTATGTTGTATTCCAACATCCGTTCCTGTATTGACATGGAGACAGGGCAGCTGACAGGTTCTTAATCCTCCATTATTTGTGCAATCAAAACAGTTCACAGTTACCTTAATGAGATCGCAGGACAGATCACAGCTTCCAAACTTGCCAGATGATAGGCTTTTAGTCCCGTTTAGGTGCCTCTGTTGGAACTTGCCCTGTCAAAGCTGTCAGCAGCTCTCATTTGAATGGCGCTGCTGAATTCCCACAAAAGTGCTAACGATCAGAAGCATCTTTGGCTTCTGCTTCAGCCCTGCAGTAATACATTTTGTTAACTGTAGAGTACAAGTAAACATACTCTGTCATCTGAATTTAAAAGTGATCAGAAGACAACTTATATAGTCATTTTCTTGCTAGTATCTGATTGTAGGGGTTCACTGATGATTTTGTTTTACAGCTAGAAGCTTTTCAACCTTTCTTCATTTTCCTGAACCTTCCATACTCTGTCATCAGAGGAGAGCAGTTCATTTTGGAAGTGAACATCTTTAATTATTTGAAAGAAGAAGCTGAGGTAAAATAACAGTCTCTTTGTGCTTGAATGTTACTAGGTGCTGCAGGGTTTTCATCACCAGTGGAGACCATGTCTTTCTCTTGTGAGAATTGTCATATTTTCTTCAGTGGGTGGACCATAAAGCTATTTCTTTATACACAAAAAATGTGGCAGCTTATGAAAGCAGTTTTTCTAAATTAACACTTCGTATTGCAAATGTTACTGTATTTACAGGTTACTGTGATCCTGGATATGAATGATGCTTTTGAAATTATTCTAACATCCAATGAAATAAATGCTACGGAAAATCAACAGTCTATATCTGTACTAAGTGAGGATGGGAAAACTGTTCAATTCCCAATCAAGCCAAAACAGCTGGGAGAGATTCCCATCAAAGTGACAGCAATATCATCTGCTGCTTCTGATGCTATCATACAGAAAGTTTTAGTAAAGGTAAACAGTCTGCAGCTTGGCGTGTTCCTGAAATAAATTGTTCCCTAAAATAGACAGCAGAGTGCAGCAAAAAGGCAAGCCAATTTACTTGTCTGCCTCTTGCTCTGTAAGGTTGGTTTCGGGTCAGGTGGCTTTAAGTAGAAACCACTTCTTTTAAAATAATTTCTCCTTCAAAATTCTTTAGATCTCCTTCCAGGAATGAACACATAGATCTGTTCTACAACAGATAGTACGTCAAATGCTTATAAAAGCAGGGTGAAACCTATTTGTGCATCAGTGAACCCCTGGTGCTACAGCTAGCTTAATAGTCTGTGGAGAGTGGACCAAATAACTGTGTTATGGATAAGTACGATCAATTTTGCCATACACCTGGCCTTAGTACAAAGCCTATTGCATATGAACATTTCTATATTTTGTTAGTGGTGGAAATTTAGCCCCCAGACTTTCTGATAAACCAGAAACTGATAAGTCTTGCCTAACTTTGGACATCTAAGTCTCATTCATGTTAGCCTCCATTTCAGTGGAAGGTGGTACAAATGTGTACATCTCATACTTATGATTCTAGAATCGGAGAATGGTTGAGGTTGGAAGGGAGTAGGCCAACCTTCCTGCTCAGGGCAGGATCAACTACAACAGGACACTCAGAACCATGTATGGTCAGGTTTTTAATATCCCCAAGGACAGGGACTTCACAACCTCTCTGGGCAGCTTATTGCAGTGTTTGAACGCCCTCACAGTTAAAAAAGTATGTTTTTATGTTTAAAAGGAAATCCCTTTATTTCAATTTGTGTGCGTGGCCTCCTATTCTGCTGTTGGGCATCATTGAGAAGAGCCTAGCTCCATCTTCTTTACACCCTCCCTTCAGGTATTTATACACATTGGTGAGATCCCCCTGAGCCTTCTCTTCTCCAGGCTTGAACAGGGCCAGTTCTCTCAGCCTCTCCTTTGACTACTTAAAACCACTATCCTGGGGGGTTGTGAGCTGTTTTCAGGTGGAGGCACTTACTACTGCCCATTCTGCTGAAGTTCAGTTGTTGTGCAGAAGAGAATAAAAGCCTGTTAGACCAAGCTGTAGGCTGAGGAAAGAAACCCATTTATTTTCTCTGCTTCAAGGACAATTTTTCTCAAGGGATTTTGCATGCATGAGGAAATGAAACCTTTATGGTCATGTAGCTAACTTCAGGTTAAGTCCCCCTTGTATGACAGGTTGTAGGATTGCAGACAGCATGACAGGTACCACCTCCAGCCTTAGCATTTGCTCGGCCGTGGAGCTCGGTGCTTGGCAGAAATGCTTTCATTGACTTTGCAGGTGTATTTTTGTAATTGACACGTGATCTTAAGAAGCAAATAATGGAGGTAGGTCTTTATAAGAAAAACATTTCTGTGTAAGTTTGGACGGGCCAATAGCTCAGGTTCTTGATGTGTTAGCAAGCAGCACAAAAGACCTGACAGTGTTTTAGATCCCTCAGTATAGTGAGCACACAACTCCTGTCCTAAAAGCAACAAACTGTTGGAGATTACAATAATCCTGTCTTTATTTTGGTAGGCTGAAGGACTGGAACAGACATATTCTCAGACAATTCTTTTGGATTTGACTTCAGATTTGAATAAACCACAATCAGTGTCAAAAACTTTGGATTTTACTTTTCCTTCTGATGTTGTAAGTGGCAGTGAGAGAGTGCAGGTCACTGTTGTTGGTAAGGATTATCTTATTCTGTTTCCATTTTTATTATTTATTGGTCAGCTATTTTTTTTTTTAAATAGTTTTTTGCCTGCTGGGCTTTTGTTGAACTCAGTATCTAAGATACATGTGTCCATTTTCAGAGTTAGAGAGGGAGTTAGATTTTAATAAGGAAAGTCCTGCAAAGTTTGCTAGTATCCTGTTTTAATTCTGCTTGTCTGCAGAATAAAACCCAAAACCTGACAGATTGTTGTTTCTTGTGACACCTAGGCTTTGATAACTGTGGGTGAGAGAAGAAATACAGGAATTTTCAAATATGTACCATTACCCTTTTTTTTTTTTTTTTTTAAATGGTGGCTGTTTGAAATTACTCTGTAGTTGGAAAGGTCTGTGGGGAAATGGGTCAGTGGGCACAAAGTTGATGAGAAGATGGAAGTATCTTTTCTGCCTGGTTAGTGGTATTCAGTACAAACGTTCCTAATGTATCATATTTTATCCCAGTTTAGATGATCCCACCCTTTATGTGTGAGGTATGCATTTATTTGCAAGAGGCTTTTATTTATTTTCATTAACTTTTATTTTTCAGGTGATTTACTTGGGCCTTCTATCAACGGTTTGTCGTCATTGATTAAGATGCCTTATGGCTGCGGTGAACAGAATATGATCAATTTTGCTCCAAATGTTTATGTTTTGCAATACCTGACTAAAACCAGGCAACTGAGAGAGGATATTAAATCAAAAGCTGTATCGTTTATGAGAAAAGGTCTGTATGCTTAAAAGAAAGATGTTAGATTTTTAAGAACTCTTACTAGTAAAAAGATATCTGTGACTGCATTTGGTGTTTGAAATACTGCTCTGTTGGTGTCATGAGAACTGGAAGAAAAGCCCGTCTTCTCTTTCTTCTCCTCTTTCTTCTGGGCTGACAGAATTAAAGAGCAAATGATTTTGTTTACAAGGGCAAGTTTGCTCAGAAAAAACATGTTGTTTTTATATAGTTACTTTTTTTCAGATGAAAAATGCATTTTAGAAGGTAATTCATATGGATTTCCTAGGTGGTGGTGATTTCTCCATTGATAAAACCATGTGTGAGCAAACATTTCTTACCTCTGCTTGAGGCACAGAGGTTGAAAATTAGTCAGTGGGCAGAGTGAACCATGTTCATCCCATGTGTGTATCTGTCTTCAGTGACACCATCCCCATCCTGCCATGTGCTGGTAGAGCTCAAGGAGAGGCGTTTACTCTGGTAGCTGGCTTTCACCCACCCAAGTTTTAGACTTGGCCAGAAATGAACTCTATGCTGGAAATCAAAAGCTGGAAAATTTTAGTTGGAAATTGTTGTATATTTTAATTGGGAAATACTCCAGGGCATCACAAAGTGTGGAGAACATAGTTGCGCTATGCTTCTTTGTGCCTTTTGGATCAGATAGGGTCTAACTGCGATGTACCACGCTCGCCACATGTCAGTCTGCATGCTGAGAGCCTGGTTCACAGAGAGGAATGATACCATCTTCATGTGAGCTACACCCTTACTAAGGGACCATGATGACATTTTCAAATTTTGTTTACTCTCTGTAAGTCTTTAATTAGTTTTTTTTTTTGGTGTTAGATTTTTTTCTTTAAGTTGTTGACATTTCCCTTGGAAAAGACACAGCTCAAAATAAATTTTCCTTTCACCAGGATCCCAATTTTCTGTCAAAAGCAGTTAAATGATTTTTCTTAAAATCTTTGTACTACATGGTTTAGTTGAAAAGTAAGGTGAGGGGGAAGAGGAAGAGATGTGTTATGTAAACAGCTACTCTGAAGTTTGTAAGCAATCTACCACTCTTGGAAGCCTGAGTTTTGCTACCATAATTTTCTGAAGTTTTCCAGTAACTGATTTATTAAAGTTATTTCAAAGCAAGTGAAAATAATAGGATTAAATGTCACTTACATACAAAGCGTTGTGTTACTTAACTTGTTCCTGGGGCTTTGAATTTAGGTACATGTTTTTAACACTGTAGTAACCAAAACATTTGTAACCTTAAGATAGAAAAGAACCACAATCTAAAAAATACTCTGTTTTTTTGCTTTATTTTAGCAATTGACTTCGGTTGTTGCACTGATTTTTTTAAAATGGAATCTTAAAGTTGAAATTTATCTTTAGTTTGAGATGTAACTTTTATAAGCTCAGTTTTTGAAAGGATTGTCATGAAGTTTAATTTGAAACAGACTTTATTTCACATGTAATAATTCACTAAATATTTGGAAAAGTGACCTCATAATCTGAAGTAAATATAATTAATTTTAAGGCTAAATGCTTGTGAGAAGAAGGAATCATATAGCTAGCAGAGACTGCTGTATGATCTTTCTTTTAGCAGCTTTTATTTACCTAGAACAAAGGCAAAGCAAAAGAAAAATTGCCTTCCAAAAAATTCCTTCAGTTGTGGGAGTGAGAGATCCCATCCTCAAATCACTTCTTCAGAAATAAAAAAAATCCTGGTTGGTCTGAAAACTTTGGTGCTAGACCCAAAGCAAGTAATGAGTTTGAGCAGTATTTCCAAGCTGTTTGAAATGTGAGACCCTTTAGTCTTTCACATATTTCTGAAGTCCTTTCCATCCCGATGCACTCCTCTTTTGCTCAGTGAGCCTCCTACATCTCTTGGGTTCCAGCCAGTCCTCTGGGAGTACTAGTGTACATCTTCCTAATAGGATCCTTCTTTTCCTTGCCTTTCCACTTGTATTTGTTGACATTTGAAGTATCATTTTTCATGTCTGATTGAGTGTCCATTGGAACGAACACAGTGGTTCACAGCCCCCAGGTCTCCCGTTCCAGCATTTCTGCAGGCTTTCCCGTGTTAGATACGCTCGTGCTTGGAGACTTTTGCGTGACTGCAACAGGGTTGGCATTGAGAAGAAAGCAAGCAGACTGTAGGAAATAGCTGAGTGATTGCTCTGTCCTCCCTCTGGTTCTGCTCATCTTTCTGATCCCTCACAACCTTAACAAATTCTGAGGTAAATTTATCCCTGTGTAAGGGCTGCTTGGCAGTCTTTGTTAAGCAGGCTGTTGGTCTTAGTTTAGTTTTTACACTACCAGCAGGGTGGTGATTATACTACTTATTGCTGTATATTGCCTGTTGTGCAAAGAAGCAGAAGACCTCAGTTTTCAGGCCTTGCAGTCAGATACTTTTGAAGAGGAAGCAATCTATTTGTATATATACATATATTCGTGTTCCTTATAGCACATTATTTGGAGGCTTAAACTTTGACAGTGACTTTTGCTTTCCTTGGTGAGAAATGCCACTCATTCCTTCTTTTTTCCTTGCACTCAAGAGTGCTTGACTCCTCAAGATCATTAACTGAGAGGACAGATTTATCTGTATGGGAAAGATTCACCAGTTTTAATCATGTAATTAATCACTGTTGTTGTGCTAAATAAATTATAAACCCCCTATATTTAAGTGGAAATTGGAATTTCAAACTCTTCTAAAGAGACAAAAACTAAACCTGATGCTACTGGGGTAAGAGTTTGTATGGGAAGGTGCACTGGTATACTGTAGCAGTTCATATTCGCATCTTTATATCTATACCTCTTCTATTATAGAGATACCCTGACTAGGATTTCATCTTACACTGTAACTTAGATTGAGAGACCAGACCATTTGTTCCTTAGTAATTAAGGCTGTGGTTCAGTCACTATGTATCTATATTCAGGATAGTATGTAAGTGGGTGATTAATCCTTTATCAGTGAAAGCAAGGAACATTTTTCAGGGTGTTGTGGTTTAACCCCAGCCGGCCACTAAGCCCCACATAAAAGCCGTGCATGCAAGCAAAGCAAAACAAGGAATTCATTCACTGCTTCCCATTAGTAGGCAGGTGTTCAGCCATCTCCAGGAAAGCAGGGCTCCATCATGTGTAACGGTTACTTGGGAAGACAAATGCCATCACTCCAAATGTATCCCCCCTTCCTCCTTTTTTCTCCAGTTTTATATGCTGAGCATAATGCCATATGGTATGGGATGTCACTTTGGTCAGTGAGGGTCAGCTGTCCCAGCTGTGTCCCCTCCCAGCTTCTTGTGCACCCCCAGCCTCCTTGCTGGTGGGGTGGTGTGAGAAGCAGAAAAGGCCTTGACTCTATGTAAGCACTGCTCAGCAGTAACAAAAACATCCCTGTGTTATCAACGCTGTTTCCAGCACAAATCCAGAACATAGCCCCATACTAGCTACTATGAAGAAGATGAACTCTGTTGCAGCCAAAACCAGCATGCAGGGGAACAGTTGTAGTTGGATGGACCTCATGGGAAGTGTTTGTAAATTCATTCATTTGTGTAGGACTTAATGATAGTTGCCTGAGGGTTTTCCTTCTGCCTGGCTGATTCAATATTGTGTCTGTATCTGTCAGGTGGTAGACTACTGAATATAATTTCTTAATTATAATAGCCAAAATAGTAAAGCCAAGGAAAAAGACAAGGTGGGGGGAAAGAAGAAAAAATGTCTTGTGAAATGCTATAAATAGATATGATTATTGTTCTGGATACACAAATGGCAAGCAAAATGTGAGGGAAGGAAGGCTTTAGATATCAGAAACTACAGTGAGTAGCATATCATAGGAAGCTTTTAATTTCTAACATTAATGAACATTGGTTCTGCAGTGAAGTCAGCTGTTGAGTGAGGATGCTGCTGGTGGACGTGAGCAGCTAGTGAGCCCTTAGGGCCCTTTTATTATAGGTGTTCAATAGTCAGGAGAAAGCTGTGCTTGTTCTGGATACTGAAAAATCTTCAGATACAGTTTAAATGGATCCTTCTCAGGATTTCAGGATCTTCAGGTCTTTTGAAATTGTTCACTCATTTCAGAACAGCCTCTTCTAGCATGCTTTTTCTGATAGCTCGTCCTTTGATTTGGCAAAAGCAAGCTGCTGAAAGGGTCAGCAGCATTTGTAGCTTTGCTGTACCCTTGCCCTTCCAGTTGGAAAATACTTGATTTTTGCTTGTGCTTCCTTCTGCTGGAAAGGTAGAGCATTTCTGTAGGCGCACAACTCCAGCTTTCCAAAGCGATGAAGCACTGAACTATAGCTGCTACTCTGCTCTGCGCTTGCTGCTGTGCTCCTGGAGCCACCGAGTTATGTGGGAGAGTGTCTCTCTGCACTCTGCTGTCGTGTTTGGGTGGCAGATGAGTGGGAGCAGGAGCTTCTGGTTCTGCTTCTTTAGATGGATCCTTCATGTTGCTGCTGCCCACTTTCTCATCATCTTCTGCACCGTTTTGTGTGTTCCTACATATTTGGGAGATTTTTAATGAAATAGGAGCTCAAGTTCTGCCCTTCTCAGCCTTAGAAAGTGCCTCGCTTCACATCAGCAGATAGTTTGTGCTGGAACCCACATGAGAGGAAAGTGTTCAATACCTGTCTCTGCTTTTCCACTTCAGGCTACCAGAGAGAGCTGCTTTTCCAAAGGGATGATGGCTCTTTTAGTGCCTTTGGAAATGAAGATCCCTCTGGGAGCACATGGTAAGTAGTTCTGCCAGATTCACTGTGGAATTTGAATACTTTAGATATTTTCCCTGCGACTAAAAATTTTTTGTGAAGCTGGTAAAAATTTCTGGCTGTATTAGCCTTCTACCTGGTTTTCATTAGGTGTTTAGGCCAACTCTAAGGTCATTCTGCTGGATAACATGCTGTCAGAGCCATTATTAGGGCAAGACTTTTTAATTTTGCAAAAGATGAATGGTGAATTATTTTAGCCAGGGGAATAGATTGATCTGAAAGTTTTTCTGTTGCCTTCCTCCAAGGAATGAAGAATAATAGTTAAATGACTTATTCTTGCAGTTGACTGAAACCATTTAGGGCTCTGTGTTCATTATCGCTTCAAACAGATTTTCAGTTCTTTCCATACTGGAGGCAGAAGACTGACTGAGGCATTTCCTAGGGGGTGAACAGAGTTACTGGTGGTAAAAAATTGTCCTACTTACCTTTCTTACACCTCCTTTTTTTGAGACTGCAAATACAGCTGAAAAAGCCTTTTCAGTGCTGAATTTCACCCTGAGAAGCATAGTGAGCATAGTAGTGGAAGCTAGATAGATAACAGAGACAAGTTCCAACACTTTGTTCAGCTAATCCACGTTCAGTTAGTTTAAATATACTTATGTATTTCAGTACACACTGCTGACCTTAAATAGAACCATCCCAGTTACTGTGCCACTGATTGAGTCACTCCTCCTGGAGTCAGTGAGCATCTTTCATTGACATTGGCAGGATTTGCCTTAGACTCAGTATTGATGGATTGGAAAATGAAGATAATTTATCTATACTGGCAACTCTGGTACTTAAATAGTGCAATGGCAGGTTATATGAGTGCACCTTTGGCAAAGAAGGGAGTCAAAGCAGAACTTGGGATTATTAATGAATAAAACAACAAAGGTTGTTTCAATGATACAATTAACTTAATTAATTATTAACAATTAATTAATTAACATCACACTCATAACCACATTACTTTGTAAACTATGATTTGTGTCACTTTAGCCTAGCAGCAGAAGGCAGGAGAGCAACATTTGAATAAAGATAAATGTGTGCTAGCACGAGTCTATACTCTGTATTTATTTTTGAAACATAACAGCTGCAAAAGGAATGATCTTTAGGAACAAGGACATATATTCATTTTTTGGTGGATTAAGCTTAGTCTACTTGCTTGTTTGGGTGAGGCACGTGTTTTCCTCTGTGCTTGGGAAGTGTGCGTAGAACACCTTATGCATCACAGTATTCTACATAATCTTAAACAGAAGAAGCTGTAATACGTTGCTAATTTTGTCATATTTGATCAACCGTTTCCCCAAGGTTATCAGCTTTTGTATTAAGATGTTTCCTTCAAGCTCGTCCATTCATAGATATTGACCAAGATGTACTCATGGATACAGCTAAATGGATTGTCCGGCATCAGAAATTAAATGGAGAATTTCATGAGCCTGGGAAAGTGTTACACAGTGATCTTCAAGGAGGCACCAATAATCCAGTCACTCTCACAGCTTACATCATGTCATCCCTCCTAGGGTTCCCAGATAAACAGGTATTGGAATTCATAAATAGAATGCATAGTTACTGGAACACTTCAAAAATTGTCATACTGCCTGGCAAACACTTGGTAGTTTAAGGAAATAGAGGGACATCTGAACAGAGACAAAATTTAACCTGATTTTGTTAAACTTCCCTCTACTTTAGCTTATCTACCTGAGACAATACGAAGTTGTGCAGTTAGGCCCTTCAATTTTATGTGCCTTTGCAAAATCTAAAGGCAGTTGCTTTTCGAAACAATATTGTCATGGCTTTAGTCCAAGAACTTGCAAGGAAATTTATGGGGGGAACTATCCTTAGAGATGTTAAGTCATTCCAGTTGATTTCATTGAGATTACTCATGTTCATAAAAGACAGTGCCAGATCAAAAGGCTTGCCTTTGAGGTTCATGCCTGTGACTCTGGAAGAGATTTTCAGTATTTCTTGGTTATTGTTTGGTGATAATAATGTTTCTGTTTCTGTACAAATTTTTATTTTAGATTATAATATTTCAATATATATTTTATTCACTGTACATTCTTCAATATGATATTCATTTCCAGCATGCTTATGTCATCAAGAGTGCTACAAACTTTCTAGAAGATAAATTAGAAGAAGGCATTTCGGATAATTACACTTTGGCACTTGTGACGTATGCATTGTCCTGGGCAAAAAGTACAAAAGCAAAGGAAGCACTGAATATATTGAACCAGAGGGCAGAACGCCAAGGTATTGCACAACTATTTTATACAGTTGTATAGATGGATTTTTGTCAAATTTAAAAATACCTATCGTATATCTACAGCTACATATGGAATTAGAGATGAAGAGAATCCCTCTTCTGAATTCAAATCTGTTTGGAGTATGATATAGAGAATAAGCTAAGAACTTCCAAGACAGCCTTAATGAAAAGTGTCCATAAATGAATGACAAATCACAACAAAGCTACGCCTTTCAGTCTCAATTACCATGTTCCTGATGGAAGTACCATGGTGCTGCTGAAGAACATTACTTGTCAGTTTTTCCATGTTATTATGTGCACTTGTAAGATCAGCCTGGTTAGAGAGATGGATGGGGTTAGCTATTCCAAAGTAGTCTGGATAGATCAGGAGTGTGGGGGGGGGCAATTAGTTAAAATCAGTATCAGAATGAATTGTTGAAGGATTGGGCTTTCTGTAAGACAATACAGAGGTGCGTTGCATTTTCTGTAGGGACTCATCTCATAATGTTTAACCTCTTCCAAGTTCGGCATGACTGAATTTTGTTCCCTGTTTTGGGGGAAGAACAGACCATATGGAGCATAAGAAGTGGAAGTTTTTGGTTCAAAATAGTAACTGTCCTCTTGAAAAATCCAAAGGAATTAATGTTCTAGCCTAGAAATAGAGCCTTTTGGGTGTCGCTCTCTGTTTACCGAGTTAGGCCTTTCGGACAGTAACGCGGGAAGAAGTCACTTTTTTGGAAGGTTTCACTCAAGAATGAGCCTAGTGAGCAGCCATGCTGCCTGAGGTGCCTCCTCTAGTCCTGAAGAGAAAGGAGCACCCCAGCAACAAGGTGGCCTTTTCACAAGGGCTCTTTTATGTGAGCACTTCAGGCTGACAACAAAAGGATCAGTGTAAAGTTCACTGAAATCAATGGAAGTGACTATTTGGACTCCAGCTTTTTTTTGTATCTAGATTCAGCCATGGCTGAGGAAGTGCTTAAGTCAGTCCTTTATGGGACATATGCCTAAACATGAACACAGTTTTAAAGAACCTTGCTAGATCCCATACGTAAGCCTTAATTAGGATGTTTCCCTTAAGTCTTTCCCAGAAGTCCAAAGACTTCCGTCTGTGGATCTGAGGTTATTATTGGTTTCTTTTGCAGGAGAATTTCGTTTCTGGATAACACCTGCTTCTGAAATTTCTGATTCATGGCAGCCACGGTCTATTGATATTGAACTTGCAGCATATGCTCTGCTCTCACACTTTCATCAAGACAGATTAGCAGAGGGGATCCCTATTATGAAATGGTTAAGTCAGCAAAGAAATCACCTTGGGGGATTTTCATCTACTCAGGTAATATCTTGTCTCAAGGGGCTTTGTTATACTTTCTAAATGAGCATTGTATATTAAAAAAAAAAAAGAAAAAGAAAAAGAAAAAAGGGACCATTTGTTTTTTACATAACAATTACTGAATTTTGTTTTCCTGTAACAGCCTTGGTTACGTGCAGGCTTGCATTCTTTGCAATATTGACAAACCTGGACTACCAGTTTTAGTATTTTGGCAAGTATGATAAAAAACAGAATTAGAAGGTCACCTTGATTATATAAAATATTAATAACAAAAGATCTTAAATTAAGAAGAAGAAGTGATGCCCATGGAAAAATAATTAATCAGATTTTCCAAGCAAGTGCGATAAATATCTGTGCTTATTTTCTTTCCAAGGAGAGAAACCTCTTTCTATTCTTTCCATATGTGGGTCCTCAAACTCCTGAAAGGCTATTAACTGAGATAAGAAAGTAGGTTTTCGAGAAGCAGCCTAACCTAGTGCCTTTGTTGGCAGCTGGTCTTAACTTAATAATGTACTTTGTCCTCATTGTTACATAGATTTTTGATGGGCCATGAAATTTGGAAGATCTACATTATCTCCAGGATGTTTCCATGTTATTGAAACCACATCTTGTAAGCTGTGCTGGCATCCAGAAAATTTATATAGTACTTTGGATTGCATTAATTTAAACTAGCTTTTAAATTAACTACAAATGCTGGTCACAGTAAAATGTCACATTTCATCATACTGCTTGGTACCCAGCTGTACAGGCTATCCTTCATTATTTTCAAATGTTTGTTGGTATTAATCTGAGATAAATTAGTTCTAATAAATAAAATGCAATTTAAGAACCAGCCTGGTTCCCCTGAGGTTCTGGTATTTTTCTAATGTGTTAATTCTTGCTTATTATTTGAAGAGGCTGATTGAAGCACTAAATGAGTTGAAAAAGCTTTTCTCTATTCTCCAGAAACCATTTTTACTTGAAAGTTTGAAAATCCAGCAGTGTACCATTTACCCCGAGGGTGAAGTTAAGAAATGAATTTAATCCTTTTGTTCTTCCATAATCTAAACTATTTTGATTTCAAAATTACTCCAGTGTCTCTCTAGATGCCTTTTTTAATTTGTGGAAATAACCCCATACTTTTTGTTAACTTCTAAGATTGCTTTAAAAAAAAGTTTTGAGTGTTTCCTTCCATGAGTTTATTACATTAGAAACTTAATATATTTTTAAACAATAAGGAGGAAAGTAATAAGTTGCATGTGTGAAGTTCTGTAAGTTAGGCTGTGATAACTCATTGCAATTTGTATGCATAGTGTAGCTTACTATGAATTTGCAATCAGTATATTTTGCTTTATAATGCTTTTAATGTTTGAGCATAAAATGTACATATCTCATATATACAGGAAAACAATCCATACAAAAAATAGCATATATATGAATGTAGACTTAAATGGTAGGGAAGAGTAGCAAATTTTGCAAAGCCTGTGTTGCTGGGCAAGAGGGGCCTATGAGTCTGAGTTGAGACCGTATTCCCTAACTTTTCAGGTTGTGTATTGGATGCAGCATTGTCATACTGAGCCGTGCACCTCGTGCTTCAACTGTGAATGTTTCCTGGTGAAAAGCCTTGGGTATGCCTTCTGCTTTAGACCATGCCCAGGGGCACGTTTATCTTCTCTGTAGGTGGTTCTTTGCCCTCTTGTTTTTCACCTGTGTTTCTGAGAGTCATTTGAGCCTAAGGTGTGGAAGAGCTCGGAATTCACCTTGGCCATGGCAGATAGCATTTCTGGACATCTTGAACTCTGTCTCAATTTAGGGCAAGAAATGTAAATGTAAGAAATGTATTTGTAAGGACTTGGAGAAAGCACTTCAAGGTATTCCTTGGTTTCCACAACTTAGGTAAGGGCAGGCATATTTCTGCTTTCAGATGTTTAAAATCAGATTCTCCAACAGGATCTTATAGCTCCTTAGGTCTATAAGGTAGATCAGATATATGGATGTGTTAGGTCGCTGTAGTTTCATACACTTCAATGTGAAAGAAGTTTTGTAAGTTTAGGCTTCCAAGCCATAGATCTTCATCGGAAACTGACTGGGTAAGGGTCCAATTCAGAGTCATTCAGTCATTCAGATGCTTTGTCACTGTCTTCTGCAAAGGAGTAATCAAAGACATTCTTTCAGGGTAAATATTGGCCTCCTACTGAAAAAGTCTGCCACTTACGCCAGACTATTAAATCTCCCTGTAGCCCACTAGTTGCATCTATTCTGGGAATTGGGATCCCAGCTGTAGTGGTTCAGTGTACCAGCAACTTTGGCACTGTTGCTAATCAGCTTATCTTTCTGGATTTTAATCAGTGAAGCAGGTCATCTCAGACAAGGACATGGCACAGGAAGGAGAGTGGTTTCTAATCATTTAAAGTGAATAGGCAGCATGTGCTGGTACCTTGAGGTACGGCACAGTCACCATGTTGTACTTAATGAGCTTCTGTTTTGTTAGAATTTTGTTACTAGACATGACCTAAGAATGAATAAAACATCTCTGTATGCTGAGCCTGCAAGGCCAATTCCTTCACTGTCACTGGTTAAAAATAGGTGCAAAATTAACTACACGAACAGTAAAAATCCCTGAGAAGCATTAGAGACATATAATTGATCACTATATTTTTTTCCAGGAAATAGCGGATGTTAAAATTCTCATTCACTAAACTGTGCTGGTCCAAATGTTCAAAGACTGCCTCTTCTGTTCAAAACCTGGAGAGCTAAGCCTGCAATTGTACACAAGGATAAACAAAAGAGAATTTTAGATGTATATATGATAATATGTTTATAAGCATATTCTGCAGTGGTTAAACAATTGCACAAAACCTTTTGAACAAATACAGAGTACAAAAAGTGGGCTGAGCCCCTTTGAAATTGTTGCTGGGGTCTGATAGAAACTCATTTCAGGCTTTTTTTAAACAAATGTTAATAGTTTTTCAGACCTATAGCTTTTGCTTTGGTGATCAAGGTACCCTGAATAACTCCTGTGCAGTACTGGATATTTAATGCATAGGCACTCAATAAATCTAGAAAGCAGCAGTATCGTTACTTTCCTCATTGGCTTTCTCTTCCCTGTCGGCATGGTGTGTGATTCTGACTGCTGTATCTACCGGCGTGTCAGGTCTTCCACATACCTTGCACAAGAGGAAAACTTTCTTAGCTGGCTCCCACCTCATTCTCTGTTGCGTGTCACAGTAGCTAACTTGTTGTCCTGTGTAGCCGTTCCTCTTCTGTGCTGGGATCCTTCATGCCAGTGGAATCCCAACAGAGATGTGGAGGTGGCTGCATGAAGACTCCAGCATAATCAAGAAATGGGACATGGCCCGTACACAGATAGTTCACTGTGCAGGCTTCTTCTGTTTAATGCAGAAAGATTTGTTTCTCTCAACAGGACACGGTGGTGGCTTTGCAAGCCTTGAGTCTATTTGCAACTGTCACTACTGCAAGCAAAACAGAAATGGATGTAACAGTGATAGCACCTTCTTTGAAAACTCCAGAAACATTTTCAATTGATAGTCGAAATCGTTTTCTGCTTCAGACTAAGGAGGTACTGTAGAAAGTGAGGAATACTTCTGTAAAGTCTGCTGACTGAAAGTACTTTGAAAATACTGTTTACTCATCTTTCTTTCAGATTCCTCCTGCACAACCAATGATAATTACAGTGACAGTGGAGGGAACAGGATTTGCTGTCTTTCAGGTACGCAATGCAGTTATTCTTGCTAAGATATGCTCTCTATAAGGAGGGTATATTTTGGAAGCTCTATAACACATGCTAATAAGAGAAATCTTCTGAAATGTCTTAAGCCAATACCAAAGCACTTTACTAACTGAAGAATGCTGTGAACCAAATATTGTTTGAATGGACACATTCGTGTGATTGTTTATGTCCTATGTCCTGGCCTTTTAAGTACTGCTGGATGATTGACAGTTTTGAGGCATTTCTTTGGGCCAGAGACATATCAAAGCAGCTCTGTCCTCCTGCAGAAATGCAGTGTCTGTTTGCAAGGCAAAGAACTGCAGTGGTACATTGGCAGGCACAAAGGTCAGAGTAAAAAAGGCATGTGGACCAGGCAGAAACGCCTCATCGGGAACCTGTGGTAAACTGTGGTAAGGCACAGATCAGTACAGAACAAGATTACACTGCTAGTTGTTAGAGTTATTTTCCTTTTATTGAAGTAGAATACAACAATAGTGCAAAAGCTAAAAATAAAGAGTATTACGGCCAGGTTCTCCAGCAATTTTTACACTGTTCTGAAACAGCATGAAAGACGGAGTCAAAGGAGCCTGCAAACTGCCAACAGTGATAGATGCTTACCATCAGCCAAAAGTGGGGGCATGGCAAAGAGTGGAAGGAGGTATAGTGACCCTCTCTCTGCCTGTCCTGCGGAAGACTGTGTTTTGGTACTATAAATTCAAACATCTTTACTGATATTTAAACAAATTAAGCTGGGATCAGCACATACTGTATTTAGAACTACCAAACCGTAAATAGCCTTTTTATGCTTTTCAGCTGCTTGCTCTTCCCCCATAACAGAGATTATGTTCTGAAGAAATTCTGCCTCCAAGATTTTCCCTAACTCTATATGAAATATCATATGAGAAGAAGACAGTATTGGATCTGATTTGATGTGGCCACTAATGGGTCTCTCTTCCCTGCTGTCCTGTCCATGGTAGTGGCTTAGAACCACACAGGTGATAAGGAAGACCTTTGAAAAGCTATGGATAATACAGAAATATTAGTCTCTGAGCATGAAAGACTCATTTTATGGGAAGTATATAGATAAACTCATAATTGCTGAGTGTATCGCAAAACCAGAGTGAGTTCCTACTAGACTCCTTCTAGTCGTACTCAGAAAAACTGAACTTAGACTGCTTTTAATGGTCTTAAAGTTTTATGCCAGGTCACATTCCATCTCAAGTTCCTTCCAACCTGACCTTCGCTTCAGTGTTCTTATGCATCTGGCAAGCAAAAAAGCATGGTGATGGTTGGTAAATATGCTTTTGGATAAAAGACCTTTACAAAGAAACCTTCACGGCTACCTATCAGCAGTGAACAGCAGCTAGAGATACACCTCATTCATTCAGCACCGGTCTGCAAAATGCACAGTGCCATAAATCGTGACCTGTGTTTATTAATTCCCAGAAGTGCAAATGAAGTTTACAGCAGAGTTCAAAAGTTTCAGAGGATAATTTAGATTCAGACCTGCAGGCCAAGATAGGAATGAACATCTCAGCAAGACTGCATTCACACATCTGTGGTTTCAGTGTGTGTGTGTATGTGGAATGTAACAAAGTGGGGCTCCAGAACAGTTAAGACTACTTAACCTTAATCATTATTGAGAAATACTCCCTGATATTAAGTCAACTAATTTGTCAGGCGAGCTGATCAAAAACATTTCAGCAAATTGTTTCTTGCTGGAAGGCACTGATTTGTTGAAATGAATGCCTTTTGTGGAAGCACATTAGTTCCAATTACATTTTTGCCAGCAGGAAAATTTCACATCCAAACCAGCATGTCTGGTCAAGACTGAGCAGAAGTCTTCCACCCAGAATAGCCAGTAGTTGACTCCGTAGCTAGAGCACTCCTTGGAGGTGTATAGCACCATGGATTAAGTTCCTGGTTTGTTGTATGAACATGCAAATGTGCTCCCAAATAGCTGGTGTTCAGGAACCAACGCCAGGTTATCGTCTTCATTTAGGTCACTGTGCTGTTGCCTTTTTTCCTGCAGCTTTGAGTCAGAGATGCTGTGACTTGATTCAAAATATTGTACTTAACACACTGGAGTAGCTTCTCCAAAACTATTTCTTTGCTGCGATCAATTCTTTCCTCCTGCTTCTTTTGGCAGGTCTGGTATTCTAAAAGAAAGAGCACTGATGCCATTTGAATGAGATTTCTCTTTTTCCCAGACACAGGCTAGATCTGGGTCGCATTTAATAAATCAGATAGCATATGACATTGCGATCACATTTCTTCGGCTGGGTTTCATTGTCTTAGGCCCGCCAAAGTACAGTGGTGAGATTCACTGTTCTGGGATTTGACTTTCTGGCCAAATGTATCGTGTCAAAACAGTAATTCATTTAAATATCACAAAACAAGATTCGGTCCATTAATGGAAAAGGCTGCTTTCCCAACAGAATGGATTTTTAGAAAAAAAAAACTTATTTTTTTGTGAAATCTCACTGTCTGTGTGTGCGAGTTGGCAGTGCATTCACTCTTGACCCTGCAGGATCTCATAAAATGTATTTATTTTGGATAGTATAATTGCAAAAGCAGACATTTACTTGTAGCTTTCTGGTCCTGCTGTCAACAAAGTCTCGTAGCTCATCCCTTCATTATGTGGGCACATACTATGGATGACCTGAGACACTGACTCTTCAAGAGGAAAGAGAGGATGGTTGTAGGGTTAGGGTATATGAAAGGCACTCTCTAGAGAAAGGACTCGAGGAAGCGATCTTCCCTAGGTGGCCTGCTGAAAGTCTTGGAAGAAACATCTCTCTGTTGTCTGGAGCCACTGTGAACTGGGCTTGGCAAATGCCTCAAAAATTTGGCGTGGCCCATGCCTTCTGGAAGGAAGGAGAATGCCACTGAAATCCAAGACTAGCGTAGGGTGGGCAAGCTCAAGGAGGATGGGTACAGGCAAAGTCGATAGGTGAACGAGATCTCCTTGATCTCCTGGTCATGTATAGAGAGGGAGCGAGGAAAAAACTGAGAATCACCTGTTGTTACTGAAACTCGCTGACTGTTTATTCCACTCAGCGTATTTTTACTAGACTTAGGCAAAGGACCGAATGTTGTTCAGTGTGATGGTACTGAAAAGATACACAAGGTACACTGTGAAATGCACACATATTTCTCTGTTACAGTTTGAGTAGATACTAAGTAGTCAAAAAGGGACATAAAATTACTGGAGATTATTTCATTGAATTCATATCCTCGATCAAGCACATTTGTGCTGCTAGTTGAAGAACAAAAAGGATGGGAAAAGAGACATTGATTAGGGCATTACAAATGAGTCATGTTTTTTTGAAATGTGTTTCACTTGATTGGGTCAGATACTGTTACAAGCATCTCTCTCATGCAGAAGATTAGCTTTTAATTTTCTCTTCTTGGGCCTCTCACCAGAACTGGTTGGAGTATGACAAGACTGGACCAATTCTGCCTTTAGCTTTGGCAGCTGCTTCTTAAAAGGGTTAAGAAGAAATGCCGTTGCTCATTTTGTTGATTTAATGGTAGTTTCTGTGTAATAGCCTTCTGTCCCCAAAGTAAGAGCGTATAAAGAAGGAGGCTTTAATTAAACTCTGTGTTGTGAAAAAGATTTTTCCTTCATTGTCATGAGAAATCAGGAAAGTCAGACCGTAACAGTGATAACTTATTCCATAAAAATACTAGCTGATTGACCTGTTCAGTATGTGGTTTCAGACATCCTGCATTGGCAGTAAATTCCTATTCATTAGCTTTTTCTGGCAAAAGTTAAAACAGCTTTGTTTCTGTGATGACAGATTGTTGAGGCACCGCCAGCTTGTCTTTACCAAACTTTCTGCATGCCTTTAACTGGCAGGCTTTCTAGATTGGCTTCGTCCTTGGTACTGCCTTCTCCTGCAGAGCAGTTGTACAGGATAAATCTTCAGTGTTGCACCACAGTTGTCCTGAGCGCCTGTGCAGAATTGGCTCTGTTCTCGTACAGCATGCTAAATTCAGCAATGCAGGGCAATCGTGTGTGTAGATTGGAAGAAAAAGCATAACTCATATCAAGGAGTTAGAGACATAGGAGCAAAAGCAAAAATCAGGAATTAAAGACCCCTCTGTTTGCACAGTCTTGCTAGCCTATAACTGACTTGCTAACCTATAACTTGGACAACCCCCATCATACCTTTAAATTTGGACTGATTTCCATTTGCTGCCGGAAACTGTTGTAAAGGGACTATGATTTTCCAGAAGCACTCTTCATTCCCTTTTCCTTAGCCAAGCAAAGTACATGTTAGGGTCTTGCAAGGGGAGTTATTTGACACACTTTCTAATTATTTTTCTACCAAAATCAAAGAAGAAGATCGCCCCCTGCCTTGCCATGTGTTTTATCTTCATGGCTAAAGGAATAGATAAAGATTATTAGTTTGTATGTGAAAACTGTATGCAAACTTACTGTTCTGTTGTTGGTGAGAATCACTATTTTGCCAATGTCAATTATTCTTTGATAGTAAATATTTTCTTAGTTTCTTGTATTTGATTTTGTCATTCTAGGGTTTTGAAAGTTGAGTTTTCTGATTCATCACGCTGAAGTGCTTAGTCAGCAACCCATTCTCTTGTCCTCTGTCAGAGGTGGTGTCCTGTTTGTGCCACAGCAAAGGGATGCTGCACTTACCATCAACATCGCAACGGGTGTTAATCAGTCTGAAGCAACTTAGAATGTTGTCTCAAAGTTAAATTTCATTTTTGGTGTCTTTTATTGGGTATAAGTATACAAGTATGCTAGAGCAGATGTGCTGGGACAACTGATATAGTTCATTATCCTGTATCCCGTAGTGGCCAGTAGAGAGAGAATGACCAATGGAGGCTAGCAGGACAGGGCAAACATGAAATGATAACTCACTGGTGTACCCTCTTGCCCTTTACCAGTTTGCAACACAGGGCCTTCCCAATCCAGAGGTCATCTCTGGCTTGGTAGATATTTCCTTGATAGATTTTTTTTTTTCTCCCATAAATATGTAACTTTTAAAATATTTCTAAGCTTTTAACAACAACAGCTTCTTGTGGCAAGTAGTTCTGCAGCTAATGGTGTATTGCATGTAGAAGCACTACCTCTTTCTCCTCTTGAATCTGCTCCCCTAGTTCTTGTATTTGGAGAGAAGGCCTAAGAGTGACTGTGTTGGGTCTGACCCCCACCTCGCTACAACCTCCTTTCAGATAGTTGTAGAGAGCGATAAGGTCTCCCCTCAGCCTGCTCTTCTCCAAACCAAACAACCCCAGTTCCCTCAGCCGCTCCTCAGAAGACTTGTGCTCTAGACCCTTCACCAGCTTCATTGCCCTTCTTTGGACATGCTCCAGCACCTCCATGTCCTTCTTGTAGTGAGGGGCCCAAAACTGAACACAATATTTGAGTTGCGGCCTCACCAGTGCCGAGTACAGGGGGACGATTACTTCCCTGGTCCTGCTGGCCACACAGTTTCTGATACAAGCCAGGATGCTATTGGCTTTCTTGGCCACCTGGGCACACTGCTGGCTCATGTTCAGCCTGCTGTCGACCAGCACCCTCAGGTCCTTTTCCGCTGGGCAGCTTTCCAGCCACTCCTCCCCAAGCCTGTAGCGTTGCGTGGGGTGGTTTTGTCCAAAGTGCAGGACCCGGCACTTAGCCTTGTTGAACCACATACAGTTGGCCTTGGCCCATCGATCCAGCCTGTCCAGATCCCTCTGTAGGGCCTTCCTACCCTCCAGCAGATCAACACTCCTGCCCAACCTTCAGCTGGACGTAGTTTCTGTGGGCTTAGAAAATTTTGATTCCATGAAGTTGTCTATTTTGCCCTTGAACACTTGTATAGTTTAGTATATCTGCAGCATCTTGTGGGAGGGAATTCCACAATTTAATCTTGCGTTGCATGAAAAACTGTTTCCTATTCATCTTTCCCATGCAGGTCAGTATTCTGTAGACCTTTACTGTGTCCTTCTTCCAACTTACCTGTTGATGGCTGAATTTTCATCTATTTTACCATTTCTTAAATGGTAAACAGATCTGGTAGTAATCAGTCCAAAACCCATTGTTATGTACATAAAAATTCTTTCATTCTGCAACTCTTTGCAGTAATCCTAGTCTTTGCAACCTCAAATAAATTAGTATAATCAGCAAACTTTATCACATCAGGATTCACCCTGTTTTCCACATCATGTATGAATGTGTTTAACGGTGGTCACCCAGCACAGATTCCTTTAGGACTCCACTCCTTTCATGTATGAACGTTCATTCCTACCCTCTATTCCTGTCTTTTAACAGCCCTTTATCCCTTGTCAGCTTCTTTTGTTCTGGTACCTTTGGCTAGTAATCTTCCTAACCAGCTACATGCCAATGTAACATCCAGGTAGCTTATACTAGACAGAGCTCCGTTGTCCATGTTTTTTCATTTGATTCAGGTAGCTGGTGGGTTTATAGCAACAACCTATTACCCAACATGTCATATTTACTCATTTGTCCATTAATTTGACTCTTTATTATAGTTTCGACCATGTTTTCTGGTACAAATACTGAGTTTACTTGATATCCACAGTTCTCTAGACTCCCACTACTCTTAGAAATTGCTGTCACATTTGTCATCCTCCAGTCTGGTACCAAGGCAGTTTTAAAGAAAAACTGCAGGTAATGATTCAGCTGTTTATTTACCTCATCAAGTTCAATTCTGTAGGCAGTACACCCTGGTTTTTTACTGCATAATTTTCTGTCATGGCTAGTAACGTGAGAGTACTCATGGGTTGCTCAATTCCAGCTCCAACATTTCTGCTTTGGCTGTTGGCATTGGAAATTTTATTTTGATATTGAGATAATCAGGCTATCTCCTAATTATTCAGACCTCTTGTAGGGACTTCTGGTTTTACCACTCTTCTACCACTGTTTCAAGCATCTTATACACGTCTGCACTAGAAGAATTGGAAACTCTTCAGACACTGCCTAACAGATGAGCTTATTTTGTGTTAATGTTACTGTCCTCCATTGGACATACTGTCATACTTCCTTACTTGGCTCACTTAGCAGCGCTTGGCAGTTGTTGAGCGGAAAGGGCAAGAGCTCTGTCCTTGAGGCAGACTGATGACTGTAGCTTTGTCTTTGCACAGATGAACCAGATGATGAAACCGCTTACTTTTAACTGCAAGAAAACTGTGTTGTTCTGAGCTTGGAGTAACATGCTATTCCTCATCTGTTTTGAGTGTATGTATGCTGTGACATGAAGACTGAAAACAAATTCTGTACATATGCTATGTATTTGCTCTTGCTCTGCTTTCATATACAGCCTGTCTCTTTTAACCCAGTGGGTATCAGTCTCTGAAGTTTGCCTTTATTCATCCCATTTCATGCTGTCAGGAAGTAGCTGCACACACTATAAACCAGCAGACGGCAACTAGGGAGAAAATTGCTGGTTATCCTAGAGCTCCCTTGTGTTTGCCTCAGTTATGTCCTGCTAATTGCATTGGTTCCGCTGCATTACAAAGTGTTCAGAAAGGATATTTCTTTCAGAGAATTCCTGTGAATCTCATGTGTGCAACTGTCAGATGCAAGGTTGTATCCTTTTTTATGTGAACACTCCTTAGGCATTATACTGTTACAAACGTAGGATTTTAACCACACAGATTTGCTTTACGTATGTCATCTAATGTCTCTACTTGCAATCCACAGCTCAATGTTATTTACAACACAAAACACCCTGATCAGAGACTCAAATCTGTCCGAAAACAAGAAGCCTTTGACTTGAATGTTGATGTAAAGGATGACAAAGATGATAAAAACCATTTGACCTTGAATGTGTGCACAAGGTAGGTAATTCAGTTGGAGCATCTCATACACCTCTTTGTCTATACAGCTTTTAAATTATTTAAAATGAGCTAAATTATCCATTTGTGTGTATGGATTTACTAATGTATAGGATATAAACATATAACTAAAGAGAATAAAAGAATTGCTTTGTAAAAATGGCAGTAGTTAACCTAAGAAGTGATTCATAAGCCATTAAATAGAGTGATAGATCTTTTGTGCAAGACTGTTGCTGGCCAGGTCATATTTTTTTACTAGTATGCATAAAGATAGTGGTGCCCTAAGTGTTAGAGGTATATGGAAGAGTTTGTGTGAAATACAAGAAAAAGCTCAAAGGCTTCTTTGGTGCAAGTGCTTCTTAGCTATCTGGAGAACTGTGGACAGACTTGAAAATTGAACCAATGTCTTCCACATTCTAACTTCTACTAACAGACTGTGACAACTGCCCATTACTCTTACCTTTCACAAACAGAATGCTTTGCTTCTGATCTAGAAGTAGATACTTTTTTTTTTTTTGGTAAAAAGAGGAGGAAACTCTGAAGTGCTGAAAACACCATGAGATAGAAGTAATCATTCTTTGGTCATTTCTATTAATAAACTTTGCTCGGAACAATTTTGGCAGGAGTCAAAATCCGTGTTTACATAATGATAAATTCAACTGGCGTTTTGTCTTATTGTGCAAGTATCTTTGTGGTCTTTCATTTACCAGTATTTCTTATAGTTATACAACATAACATAACATAACATAACATAACATAACATAACATAACATAACATAACATAACATAACAATACTGTAAGCATCATTCTAGAGTTGAAAGAGGTGATGAGTTTTCTGGCTGGTCTAATTCTATTCTTTGTGCTGAATAAGGACAGGGGAGGGTGCATCTGGGATGATGTTTCTTGTTCAGTAAACACCTACTAAGAACTGCGCTGAGACTGCTGAAGCATCATCTCAGAGACCACAGAACAGCCACCAGATGTTACCTGGACAGAATTTGGATCAGATGAGAACAAGTGACATTGAACAGTCATATTGCATATTCCTAGGTCAGCCAGTCATTAAACCAAGCTGTTTCTTTGACTGCTTTGCTGCCTCATTTTTACTTGCTGTGAAAGTGTTTATACATGTTTTTAAAAGAAATATATGAAGATGTTTGTTCTCTGGCAGTTTCTTCAATACGTACTTCTTATTGTAGTTGCAGAGCACTGCATATTTCACAGAAAACCTTATAGGACATCGTATCTCTCTATATATATTTATGGTTTTTTATCTTCTGTCTTTTATTATCTACAAGGGTGTTGAGATGACTACATTCTTTGTAGTTAGGATTTCATTTGTTTGTGAATACTTCCTCTAGAAACATTTTCTTCTTGAGACATTGTAATGGGTTCCTTGTAAATGCAAGATTTGCAAAGTACCACCTGATCTGCCATGATTACTCTTGTATCCCTTTCCTTCACATCCTCTTTTTGTTATTTATTTAAACTTTAAACACCATATGCCTAGAACTGGTTTTATGCTCTGCCTATCACAAGGGAGCTGTGACTGGAGATGGAGCCTCTAGGTGACACCATCATACAAATAATCAGCTATAGTGAATATGATTTCAGTACAGAGAGGATTGATTTAATTTTGGAAATAGCCAGCAGGCACAAAGCCAGAGCCCTGTTTTTATGTGTTTCTGGTAACCAGTTCAGTGATACAGATGGTGGGCAGGGACACTAGGATACACGAGAGCTCTTGAAATAGAATGGGCTTTTTCTCTTTTAAAGTTTTCTATGAAGTGTCAACAGCTTTCTAAAGTCTAGCACAAACTCCTGACATGTAAAGGGCTTACATGATGGGTCTGGGCTAAGTCTTGGCTAAGCATTCTGATTTTCTAGCTAAGACCTTTGGCTCAGTAAGGTCTCCATCTCTCTGGGAAGGCTCTAGGGTGATGATGTTTTAATTGCAAAGTGTTCAAAGGATAGGGGAAAATCTAGTGGCATTATAAAACTGCCCCAGGAGAATATTTGGAACATTAAGATCCATTAACTCTTATTATGGAAAGTGGACTGGTATAAGTTCTAGTAAGTGTGTGTTTCTGTTCTTTAGGCTGAGACTTTGTCTCTGGTTGCTTGGCTTGATAGACTAGTGATCCTCTTCTTTTTTCCCTATATATTATATGTAATATATACATTATCTATAGTAAATTCCTGAATTAGTTTAAAGTTGGTCTACTTATAATCTTTACAGCATGATGTGGCTTTCTGGTAGAGAAACCAAAGGAGGCAAATACAGAAAGACTGCTGAAATCTCAACCAGTTTAGCTAGCTGTGGGTATGCATAGTCAGGTAATGGAGGCTGCAGCTTTGCAATTTTTTTCTTTCTCTAATCTGCAGAGTATTCCACCTTCTTTTAACCAGCTTGATAGTGATTGGCCATGGTCATTTCAACTGGGTATCATTTATGACGCTGGAGCAGATAATGTCTCATTCAGCTTGAACTGATTCTTGGTTAGAGGAGCTAACTCACTGTCTGGGAGGCAAATACCCAGGGCTGCCAGTTTCTTCTCTGGTTGGTCTTGTTGCCCGCATACCATTTCCAGGCATGGGAAACTGATCGCTGATGGTTCTACTCACTCTCTTGTTTATGCTTTCTGCCCACACTAGCTTGGTGTTGTTTTCTCCTCTTTGCATCATCTATGAGAGGATCTCACACAGATCTCATTGCTGAAGAGCTGAAACATAAAATTCAACTCAAAAGGTTCTCAGTTCTCTTCAGGTACAAGTTTCAAGTCTGCTTTCTTTCTCTTTCTGGTCATTCTTCTTGCATGGTGATTTTTTTTTCTGTTTTAAGAGATCATGGAGTTGAAGAGATGATACCAGGAGCTACCCCCAAGGCTGTCTCTCTTCTTCATTAGAGAGACAGATCCTCATAACTTCTAGGCATATATCTTATTCACTTCTTGACAATACCAAGCTGGTTTGGTTACCTGTTGGTATTTTGGTAGCATCCCAGGCTGGCTAGACAGCTTGGGTATTTTCCTCCCCTCTTATTGGTAATTATGCAGAAATAATTACATCCAGTTCCAATTCAGTTATTTGTTTTCAACAGCAGCTACTTTGGCACAGCACATCATCCAACAGATGGTTTCATTTGTTTCTAATTTCGTGAGCCAACTGAAGTCAGCAGTTGTGCTGTATTTCTTTCAAAGTCATATCTGCGTTCAATCAGCCGTCCTGCCAGGCTTAACAGCATTGCTTTGAAAGTAAGTCTTCCCTTTTCTTAAACCATCCAGGTCTACAAAGAAATAGTTTTATCCAATTACTTTCAACTACTGTCAGGCCTCCAAAATGAGGATTGGAGGCATTTCTATTCTATTATAACAATAATCATTTACCCTCCATGCCAAGGCAGGGGAAACCTCTTCTGCCACCTACTTTATTTAAAGCAATACAATCTTTTGCAGGTCATTTAAGTATCACTTGTAGCACAGAACACCATAAATATATTTTGATAGTTCTGTTGTGCACCATAGTATGTAAGGCTTGCTCAACAGAGCAAAGCTTTTTAGTCCAGCATCTGATTCTCATATTGGAAGAAGATATAATAATAAGCATTATTTAGGAAAAAAGAGGGAACTCAGCTTATTAAATCTTCTTTTTCCAAAATCAGATGAATAACATGGCTATGCATTTTAAAACTGGAGCTTTGAGAAATAATCTGATGATGACTTTGTTAATGGAACCATCAGTCTCTATGAAGAAAATATGAAAATATTTGGGAGACTTTTTTGGTCTATACGTTTATCTCACCCTCTAAAAATGAATAAAAGCAAAACAATGCATCCATAAGAGGAAATATGTCTATTTCAGTTCAAGAGTTCCTACAGCAGTTTCTTAATTACTTCTTTTGAAACATGTTTAATTGCAGTATTCCCTGCATATTTGTGATGTAAACCTGCACTTATAGGTGCCAATGGAAAGCTTCTAGTGGTGTCAGTGTAGTCTCTCATATGATTTATGTACTGCAGTTTTCTCAGTGCTAAACCTGCTTTTGCATATGTGGTTGAAATTATCGGGCAGAATAATAGAGAAATCAACTATTATCGCTTTAACATCAGAAATCTTCTTGTTGGCATTTTGTTCCATTTGTTTGTTAAGTATTCTTAAGCATTATTGCTTCCGTAGGTGGGATTTAATGATCAAACAGTTTCTTTGGAGCGTCAGCTACTGTATTTCTACTAAAAGTTTTTTTGTCTCTGTGTTTTGAAAAGGTACTTGGGTTCTGGCACAGCTCCCAGTAGTGGTATGGTCCTCATGGAGGTTGGCTTACTCAGCGGTTTCTCTGTGTCACCAGATTTCATTCCATTAGACAAGACAGTTAAGAAGATGGAAAAGGACGATGGAAAAGTCAACCTATACTTAGACTCTGTAAGTTGAAAATAACAAAAAGAAATGTGTTCGTAGTGATGTTAATCTTGACTCTGCCATTGTTTGGTTTAAATTGGAAAGACATTATGATTGTATTCTTTGGGGACGTCAATATCTACTATTCACATTGAATTTATAGCTCCACTGTTTTTCAGTGAGACTGATGGGTAGGTACAACTCAGTTATATTTGTAAGGCGTTTCTAGATTAAGCCTCTTAAAAATCATGTATAAGAAGGCAGACATTTCAAGAAGTCTGAAATTTGGCCAAAATGAGTACAAATGAGAGAAGCATCTTTATATGCATCCTGATTCCAAGTCTTTAGAAATGAAGGGGACTGCCGCTGAGCTACAAGTCCTTACCTCTTCCATGAAACCACCATCCCAGCATTCTCAGATGTTTCTCTTTTGTTTTTCTAGCTAAATGAAACACAGGTTTGTGTGGATATTCCGGCTGTGAGAGACTTCAAAGTGGCAAATATCCAAGATGCTTCAGTGACTATAGTGGATTACTATGAACCTAGTAAGTGTCAGTCATTCCAAATGGATCTTGGTGATTCAGAAGTTTAAAAGAAAGTTTCTTTTCATGGAAACAGGACAAATTTTAGTGAAGAGCAAGCCACATTGCACTGAAATTTACTTTTTTTCATTGAACTACAGCCTTTTTGGACATTGACATGCCAAATTTTCTAACAAATAGTAGTGTTTTTCCATATACATGTTTACTGTCCTAATGAGTTGATTCCTCAGCTGGTGTGAATTGTCGTAACTTAATTGTCAGCTGGTATAAATTGGCTTCATTCCGGCCCACTGTGTTCTCAAAACTACCAAAATGAAGCAGGAACTTCACTGTGGTTCACTTACCAAGTTAATGATTGTCTTTCAAGTAGCTTTTTCATCTGTTTCTTGTTTAAACTAAGAGTCCTTCACTGGAGAAAATGCCAGTGTTTTGATTCTATAGTTATGTAAAAAAGATGTACCTGGGGAAAAACAGTTTCAAAGTTTTTTGGTTTGATGGGTTTTTTTTGTATAGAGTGTTTTAGAGAAAGGCAGCAATGTACAAAGATCTTGGGCAAAATGAAAAGCAAAGAAAGATTACAAGCTGCTGGAGAAGATACTAGAGAGGTTTTCATTACACTAGTCAGCTGAAACATTATTAAGGATTTGGGCTTGGTTTGAGATAAGGCATTAAAAAGCTGTATAGGCAATTTTCTTCATGTTGGTTTGTTTTAGCACAAGACAGAGACAATCAAGTATGCTATGATGTGTACTACTTTAGCTAGATGAAGATCTCATTTATTCTATGTAGGTTGAAATGCTTTTTCAATCACAGAATTTTAAACTAAAATAGGAAATTAGTGGATGTAATGAAACTGTCCATTAACCTAGAGCATGTTTTAAGTCCTAGTGGCTTAACAAGTTAGAGTAATTTTTATTTGAGGCAAACACATAACACTTAGAATCTGTGGCCAAAATGAATTTCCACATGCTTTAATGACTAGGAGAAAAGCTCAGGACCTAGTCTTTTGTAAGAATGCTGTTAGATAGGGTAATGAATAAATGTATAAAAAAGTCACATATAAACGCACATGTGTAAATACTTCTGTTTAAATACATTTAATGTCTATAAATTCTCAATTAATAAATCAATATTAATTTAAAGATATGAATTAATATCCTTAAGGACTAAAATTTTTATGATGCAATCAGTACTGCAATAGAAGGGTTTAACTTTAAGAAAAAGATTGCTTCAAATATTATTTTACAAGATGCCATTCCTATTACTATGTAGCATAGGCATCTTATTGGTCAACATATATACATATGCCACGATTCCGAGTTCTTCTGAGAGAACTCCTTCCTATCTAATACAGGAACATGCTTTTGTTTTAATCTGTTATTTTCCATCACTCTCATAGTTGGTAACCCAAGCTGCAGGTGTATATTTTTTGTGATGGTGACAGTCAGATTCCTGTCGTATTCAGAGCTAGGAGATATCTAAGGATTCCTCGTGCTCTGGCATGTATCAAAAAGTTATGTCTGTGTGGCTGATATTACAACTGGTATAAGAGCTGGGTTGGATGCCAGTATAGCAGTGCCAGCAAGGAGATCTACCAGGGTTAATATACACAGCTGCTCAGCATATTCAAATGACTGTGCTGCTTCTCTTACCTGACTTTGCTCAGAGCTAGTTGGGTGTCACTGTTGGGTAAGCGTTATGCCTCATAAAGACACATTTTTATTTTTACTTTTTTAATATCTTGAGGCTTGAAAGGAAACTGAATATAATTTCAGTTAAAAAATACTACTAATAAAAAAAAGAAATTGCAGTGTCCCTAGTTGGAATGAAAACCCTCAAACCACGAAACCCACTAAGGGAATGAAACTTTGCAAAAGCTTGTTCTGTAAGCAATTACCATGCATTGATGTTTTTGAAATGAATATGGCTTTCCAGGCTTCGAGTCTGTTCAGCTCTGTAGCAACACTTCAGGAAACTGGGGAGCAAAATACAGGAGCAGGAGCTAGGTGAGGTGGGCAGTCCCAGATTCAGGAATCTGAAGCTTCCAAACAGAATAGTGAGAGAGAAAGCATCAATTGTGAGAGACCTAGCTCTTGAATGTCTTAGCCAGTAACCTGCCAGGTAAATCATCCCAGTTCCTTTGTCATAGGGGTTACTGCATAGGTAGGGGCAAAATTCCTTTTAAAATGTTTGAACTGGGTCTAACAGTTGAGATTGAGGCTATGAAAATGTGCCTTTCACCAAACATTTGCCTGAATATATTGAGAACGTTTTGATGTTTTGGGAAAAGGACAAAGTTTAATGCCTAGGCTTAAACACCCACCCTGGGAAGTGTTTTGCAGTGTATGATGAGGTCTGCATCAGAGTTTAGTGCATCCTTTAAAAATGCTTTTTTTGTGAAGCTAATTTGTTGGCCAGTTCTCAGAAGTTCATTAACTAATGTTGACTAACCTTTCTGAACAGGGAGAAGAGCAGTGAGAAGCTACAATTCAGAAGTAATGCAAAGTATAACCCCTTGTGACTTCTGTGAAAGTGATTGCAGTCTTTGCCAACGAGATGGTTCTCCAGCCTTGCTTCAGCACTCTTTGTTGGCCTCCTTGCTCTGTGTGCTATTTGTCCTTCATGTAAACATGCTGTGCAGTTGGGTGCTGTAAAAGGAAACAGATTATGTGTCACATTTAAGGTTTCTGTAAATTATCCAAAGAAAATTTTATGTTCAGATACCAGCCTGTCTAGTGATTACAGTGACCAAACTCCTGCTGCGTTCAGGGAGAGCTGGGCTGGCCCATATGGTAAATTTCTGGCTGTGCCAGAAAACTTCTTTAAGTGTCTGCTGGAAAAACTTTCCAAGTCTTAGTTTCATACTGAAGTTATTTTCTGAAGAAGCACAGAGTTAAGTGAGAAAGAGTCTGAGAAAATACAAACCTAGCTACATGTTCCCACTCCCTTTTCACCCCAGCTTTCGATTGTGCTTGTTTTTTTAGGGACATATGTTAGTTTACCATGCTTTTCCGAAACACTATCTGCCTCTCCGTTGGGGTGTTGGTAAGCAGAATGCTGGGAGCTTGGTATCAGAGCTCGCTTTGTTCTGTTCTGCAGACATGACACTTGACATTAATATTAAATTTTGCAGTATGCTCACATGGGGAAAAATATGAAAAATAAAAGGAGCTGGCTTCAGAGCAGATCCAAGAGCCAGAAAGTGCATTCACAAACTGCTGAATGCTCCAGAAAATTGTCAGTCTTTTTTTATCATTGCAGAGGAGCTAGGTGGAGTTTTTGCCAATTCATAAGCTAATCATGTTTGAAAATAAGGCCTCAGGATGTTCTCATGTATTTTACTTTGGAAGGCTTTTACTGTAAATGTATCAAAGATGGAGTCTATGTTTGAGACTTCATTTTTCCAGGGTTATTCAGAAACAAACCTAATTCTGTTTCCATGTGAGAACGCTGGTGTCAGCTGGCATATTTATGGCCAGCAGGACGAAGACTGCTTTGATCCTTTTCTGGTTTTCGGAAGTCTTCTAGGAATGTCACTCTGGGGCATCATTTATGTCTTGCGTTTGCAGTGTCGTCTTGTCAACAATTTAAGCGGCATAACCCTAAAGAGCTGTTTACTGCTCTCTGTGCCATGTCAGCTGGTTGGCCCTGAATGCCATCTGTGCGTGCAACTCCTGTTGTTGGTTGGCGGGAGAGGCTTTTGGGAGATGTGGGCTGGACATGCATTCAGTCCAGCAAAACAGTTGGCTGCTTGCTTAACTTAAGCACATCCTTGTGCGCTTAAGTGCTTTGCTGAAGTGGAATGGAGGAGAGGGACAGTGAAGGACAGCAGGCACTTTTACACCCAAACCTGCTCTTTGCACATGGGGAGAATTTCAGGTCTCTATGAATGTGGAAACGTGTGAGCATGGGATCTCTTCCCTCCTGAGTGAGCGTTCCCTGTCTGGCAGCCTATTTATCCTTCTTGAACACTGCCTATGATACCTAATGCTTACTTCTTTTTGATAAGGAAGCCAAGTCAATAACATTCCTAGTTACTAAAATGAAGTTAATAGCTGTCGTGCCAACTAACAAGAGTTAGAAATTTTAAGGCTATTGATTCCCTTTCTTTTATAACTTTTGTGTGTAGATGTGCACATGTGTGCATATGGCAGTCACTTTCCTTCAGCAATTTCTAATTTTTATTCAAATTTTGCTACTGCTTAAAATGTATATTTTTGTATTTTATGCTGATCCATACTTTTGTTCAAAAAGGAAATTAGTGCATGGTAGCATGGGAAGAGGCCTGAACTTCCTGAACTGGGTGCCTTCTAATACCGAGGTATAGGTTTTTAACTGCAAAACTAGTTTAGGTGGGGTTATTTGTTTTACTTCAGCTGTATTTAGAATTCACAATGTTTTCCACAAACTTGGGGTTCTGTTCTGTCTCTCTGGCAGAGCTTAGGCCTGGTTCTTTGTAGTCAGTTCATGCTTTTCAGTTGCCTTTGGTGCACTTTGGATCTAGCCCCTTGAATAGTTGTTTAGTGCCTTAACATGAGTGCCCATGCTGCTCTCTGACTCACATGAAGTAACATCGTATTTATTGAAATCCAAAGCACTACTTAGTCAATAGGATGCAGGATCTGACCCTCTGTTAGTTGTGCCCTTGGTTACATGGCTCCAGAGCTAATAGAAACCAAGATACAAACTGAAATGTATCTTTGCATCTCAAATCCTTTATCCATGTATGGGAGCATAGACTGAATTGTGCCAAGTGTAAGATCTGGAGAACATTCACACTCTGAGCTGGGATGTGTTTTGCTGTGGGTGCACTGTGAAAGCAGGTCTTCTTTTGCCTTTGGGGACAGCAGCCTTGACATGTCATTTGCCTCCATTTATTATAATTTCAGGAACCCAAAGCTCACATGCTTTCAGTTTTTACTATATGTAGAGCTTCTAAGAGGAACATTGATACCTGACTAATGTTAGGATAAAGAGGCTTATTTTCTAGACAAGATGTACTGGAGATAAACTACTCCTTTGCAGTTGATAGTAGGAATAAATTAGTTTTATTTTGCAGGCAGTCCCAGCTTCCTGAATATCCTCAAGAAAAATGGATTTAAACTGCTCAGCCTAATTTCAGACAGGGCAGCTTTTTCTAGTATTCCCTTACATTTGTTTTTGAGACAAACAACACATGTTTTTAAATGACTCTTGGCTGCCTTGCACACCCTACCAAGAAGCGTCAGTAATAATGCACCATGTCATGGAAATTGTGGGAGTCAGTGAACAAACATCCTCTTCTATTTTACTTTTTTCTACACAGCAGGCATATCATTACAGACATCCAAATCTGCCTCTGTACTAAGCTATTCTAAAGGAACAGTGTACATCATATGACTTCAAACAAATATTTACACTAGGTGGCCTTGAACTTTCCTACACCAATGCCTTTGGTCAGTTTGCAGTTGCAGCTAGTGCTTTGAGTGAGTTACAGAGGATGAATTTTGCATTGTGTGTTGGCAGTGAGTGGAACAGAGGAAAGGAAATATTATGTGGCATAGTGACTTTTTTTGTTTTCCTCATGGTTATGTAGGAACCTTTACACAAATGCTCAGCATATATATTTTTTCCATTGCTCTGTAAAGTCAGTTTTTGATGTTAGAAGGGCCATGCTCCCACTCAGTTACTAGGAAATCTTTTAGCAGAAGATCTTTAGGAACTCTTTAGGAACAAGGTCTTTAAGGAGCTTTAAGGCATGGTGGCAAAAGCAGTCAGGAAAAGGTATTTTGTGATGGAGTCTTCATGTTGCATTGCCTGAACATTTTTGTGTGATTGCTCTTTGTTTGAAATTTGAGCATTTTCTAGTACTTCCCGTGCCCTTTTCAGCCTTGTGCTGTCAATGGACATAGTCTACACAGAGCCATTAATACACTATTAAATCAGTAAGAAATAATAATTTATTTAGGATTGAGTTCAAAACAAAACCATAGTGCATTTTAAAGTGCACTCCCCAAATTCTACCTTTGCTGTCATCCGTGATCTTAGCCGAAGTTTTCTCTACAGGTTTCTCGTGTGCATCATCCAGAAATCTTCTATACTGAATGTTGTTGTACAGAACAGGGAACGAGTGTTGCCTAACAACGGGTTTACAGTACCTCGGAGTCTGCATGCTGGGCCAGCTCGGTGGCTGGTTTTGTTCCCAGCACAGCACCAACACGCTCCCATTTACTTCACAAGCAGGAGCTTGTGGCTTGTGCACATCAATGGCACGTGATAACGGGGGAAGTGGCCAGAGTGGTGCAGGAGAAACAGAAGAGCCAAGGTCCAACGTTACGTGACTCTCTTTTGGCTTGAAAGGTAGTGTTGAAAATCAAACCTAAGATTCAAAAATTGGTTTTATTCAGTTTTCAAAATACTATCCTGGCAATACTTCTCCGGATGTGTTGCCCAAGTTGGTACGAATATTGACAATATTTGGTTTAAGCAGATTCCTGTAGAAAGCATAGGTATATGCATAGCCATTATCTAGGCCCCAGTGTACTACAGTGTCCAATGTATGTGCAATTAAAAACATACTAGATCTTCACAAAGTGCCCAGACCAACAACATTGTGTGATGTTCTGTCTTTCAAAACATGGTTAGGCTTTTAGGAAAAATTATATTTGGAAAGCAACTGGTGCCTAATGGCATAACTTTTCTATCTCAAACACTAAGAAAGGGTATTCAATTTTAATTCTAATGGCCAATAATATTTCTGTTACAGCCTTCCTTCGTCTACCATGAATCTTTATCCAGTGAACCATCTTTATGTGTTTAGTCCTCTAAATACATAGAAGATTTTGAAATTAGGTGTTCTCATTAGTAATTTATCCATGAAATATAACAGCAGATATTTGATCAGGTCTTTCAACTTATTATTAGATTCTCCTTTTCCCCATGTCAAAATATTTGACTTCAGTGTTTTTTCTTACTCAGTTTATTATATTTTTGTGTGCTACTTGGAAATATCATTGCACTAACGCTATTCTATGCAATAAAGTCTGACAGTGTGCTGTATTAGATCAATCCAGTGATTATTTTTCCTAATGGGTAGCTCGCTATTTTCAGATATGTATGAGCATTAATTGCTTATGTGCCTCATTTGAGTCACCAGAACTCCAGTGTTAAGATTTCTCTTTAATTTCAAATCATACATTTTGTTTCTGTATTCCTTAGTGCTTACCCAAAAGCTTCATCAGCCTTGCTCAGATCTTATGATGTCATATTATGAATTGATTTTTTTGTTGTGGTTTTTAGTATTGTTAGGTTGGGTGGGATACTAATATGAGGAAGAAATATAAAAAACCACTGGCTCAGAGGAAGTATCATATAAGCAGGTGTAATGTACCATACATTAGCTGTCCTACTGGCTATTGCATCTCTTCTTTTTCCATTTCAGGCCTTAAGCAATTTGAACTAAAATTCTTGGCTGCCTTGAGACGTAGTCAGATACCCACTTTGATCTAGTTTAGGATCATCCTACACATTTCCACTTTTGATCAAATCAGAAATGGTAGAAAAAGAATGCTTTTATGAGCTGTTTGGAGCAAACAGAGGTGAACTAACATGCCAGCTATGCAAATTGCTTCTGTCTTTTCAAATAATAAAACAAATGTTAAGGAACTAGACTGTT